TGGCACTCAGGTTACCGTATTTTTTTACACCACGTTAGGTTAAACTTAGGAAAAAAAAAATAAACAAAACATGAAATTTGAGTTAGATCTTAAACTATATAATAATAATCAAAGCAAGAGCTGTACATACTAAAAATTGGAATAACTACCACTTTTGTTATAGTTTAATAAATAAAAAAATATTTGCTATTAAAAATTACATTCTATCTCAGTTTTTAAAGTATAAATAAATATTCAATAATGTTTTTGCATTCTCACGATGAATTTTGGCCTCAGCGCTGAATAATAACAATTTAAAATATTTTACCCATACCCATATTTAAATGTTATTTAACAATATTTTCCAGCATTTTGTGTATCTTAGAATACAGCGTGTGCATGCGTCTTAGTAAACGGTAAATTTAAATATGATTTTTGCCACTTTAAGTCCTTAGCATCAAGCCATTTTTAAAATCAGAAGAGTAGCCTTTTCAAAATGCATAAGCTAGCAAACATTATTTATATGATTATAGATAATAAAATTATTGTAATAAATAATTATAAAATATTATTAGTAATATATGAATAATTAAATTATATTTCATACATTAGCTCATACTTGGTAGAAATTAGCGATGCTGCTCCCCTTTATATGCTTATATGCCGTTAAATTTGGGTTCAGTAAGGTATCTTTGGAAGAATTTATCGCTATCAGTCGGCCATAAGAGCCGCTTCGGCCAACATTAGTGTCAGCCAAGTATAGCAACGTCGTTTTAGATATATAAAAAGATATAAATATCAAAATGGCTACAGATTCCGCGATATAACATCTCATCCCCAAAGGGCGTAAACCTTGGCAATTTCGAAGTTCACAACGCTGAATGGCTGGGTTTCCATAAAACCTAATCAGGTGGGAGATCCGTTTACCTTACTTTTTTATATGGTATAACACATCTGGTTATTTCACCGACTTCAAGCAACCTAAGAGAATAATTTCACATTTTAATGTCGGTGTTAAGGCGTATTGCTTTGAAGAAATAAAGGCTTTTATTTTTTTTATTAAGTTATTTTTACCCTTTTGTGTGGAGTAAGGAATACCACAATCTAAATGTCGTCTAAGAAATAGTTCTCTTAAAAACGTCATCCCTATTTGTGCCGCCCTTAGGGGTGGAATTATTTCTTCTGTTTTATATGGGACCACACCAGAAGTATAACCTATTTAATAAAAAGAAGCGTCAAAGTCTCGTAACATTCATACAATCGAATTGTTAACTTCCTCCTCTATTTGAAGTAGACTATAAATTTTAATTTTATAGATATTCTTCTTAGTAGGAATATAAATAGTAAATAATAATAGAAAAATAAAAAAGAACACGTAGGCAATATTGCATTTAATTATAACAATTCGTCTGTAACTGAACAGTTTGCAACAACCATTTTCATAGAACTTATATATAATTTATAAAATATGGTTAGAAAAGGAATAATACCAACCTTGTCATCAAAGTCGGTTAACAAAATCCATTGTTTAAAAAAGGTGTATGTGTGTTGTGTGACCGGGAAATATTTATTTCAAATAAAAATATTAAGATTAATATTTGCAACATACAATTTTCGGACAGCGGTTATGAGTACGTTATTGTAAAATAATTGTATTATACATTAAGATAATCAAGGTTACAGCAACAATTAGAACGTTATACGATATACGAAGACAACAAGCAAGTGTGAAGCGAATATATTATATTTTCTTCCGCAAATATTATATAAGTATTTTATTTTTCTGATCGAGGCACAATCCCATAATCCTATTCAATAATAAATACAACGAGACAAAAATCTGTACGTGTTATAGTTTCAGTACCTAGATAAAATAATGCTAGCAACACACGAATTATCCAACCCTCCAACACTATGTATAAAGGTTTATGCTAGTTAGAAAGTTTGGCCGAGTTTGCCGTTTGCCAAGTTTTGTAATCAATCAAATAATTAATCAAGTCAGTTTTTGTGACTCAGGTTTGGGTGAACATTTGTAGTTGGAGAGTTAGGCCATCATATAGAATAGTAGTTAGAGCTGACAAATACCATACAAACATTTTATTATTTTTCCGGAAAATTAGTTGAAAACTTTAATGTCATTCACTTTTATCACAAACAGTATGATTTGTTATAAAAGATTACTAGTTAAAATACGATATTAAGCCCAAAGTACCATTTGCATAATACTGTCAATGATATTAAAGTTTTCAAATAATTGTATAATTTTAACAAAATCGTTTTATAATTTTATTGATGTACCAAAAATTGATACCAGTTTGCAAAAGTTTTGTTGTACGTACTTATATATTTAAAATGATAAAGTTACACGCAATTTTTTCAAAAATATTTACAGCTTGATTATAAATTCGTACTAAAAACTGAGGAAAATAGTATTTAAGGAGAACGTACATGAAATATATTTTTGGCACGAAAGACGTCATAAAACAGGTTTGTTGAAATTCTCAGGGTAAAAACTTAAAATTATCATGAAAATGTATGATTATCGTAAAATCAGAAACAGACATATGTGTGGAAACATATTAAATATTTTACATTATTTTCTTAGGATGAGTACAATAGAACAATCTATCGTTAAATAATGTCCGTAATAATTAAAAAAGTTATAATTATCTACAATAACATTGAACTTTCGCCTCATCAGCTATGCCACGATTTCTGTGAAGGCGATGTTTTGTTGTGTAAGCATTAGTTACTCAATACCATTAATTGAATTGAATTTACAATACCTGTAATAAAATATGTACAACCTTTAACGCATAAAACATTTTAGGAACTCATAAACAATTCATTAATATTAAGTCAAGACATATATATTTTGCTTCCCATTTGTTAAAGTGAAATAAATAAATAGATTTTTAAACAAATTAGAATAACTGTTTTTTAAATTAAAAATCATTTTATTTGACTATAACAAATTTTGAGAGTATTTATGTTAACATATTGATGTCTAATATGATGATGTTCATTTTTTTTAAAAACTTCATCTTGTAGATTTATATGTGTAAACATTTTATAAATTCAATATGCATGTATAATGTCTATATAAAAACCTATTTGATTTGAGCTTTTGCTGGTGCTACTTTCTTGATATGCCACAGGAGGACACCACGACAGCCAAAACCTACACCATTTTACAAATTACCATTATAGTATATTTAGTAATAAAAAGAAGTATTCAATGTTTTTTGTTTATTTTAGCTTTTAGCCTATTGTGAATAAAAAAATAAGATTGGATTCATCTAAAAATCCATAGGTAGTGCTCACAAAATTTGCACAAATTAATTCATACCTGTAGTTAAATTAACACCACCCAATAGTCTTGTGCTAACTGCGATTGGTAATTCGACCGTCACGCATTTCCAACAATGAACTCTTAGCGGCTAATGAAGGCGAAAAACTGAGATTCAATATTTATTAATAAAGTATTTTTTTTATTTAAGTGTATAGTCTGTTCGCTTAGATATGGTCGCCTTTGTGTCGCACCGCCTTGGCACGTGCCACATCTTGTCAAAGGCGCCGCCACGATATCAAAGGTCGCCGCGTGCGGCGTACACCGCGCAGGAGAATTAATTTAGCATTTTAAAACGAAACTCTGCGTCACGCCGTAATAAAAGGTTATTTGCTACCTAGCTAGTCTAGTGTTTATCTATACTAATATAATAAAGCGGAAGAGTTTTTTTTGTTTTTTTGTTTGTTTAAACGCGCTAATCTCTGGAACTACCAGTCCGATTTGAAAAATTATTTTTGTATATTATAGCCAGATTCATGTGGAATAGTATAGGCTATCTAGCATTAAGCTATATTACTCAGTTAGCCTTAAATATGGATATTTGTTAAGCAAGTCAGAAGAAAAAGCACTCCCGAAATGATTTATCTGCGTACGCTGGTGTTATCGTTAGGGATACGTAAATACAATGTTCTAGAAAAATATAGACCTTTACTTCGTCTAAAAAGAGTTCGCGATACCATATGTCTATTTCTTATACATAAGCCATAATTTGGTATTTTGTGACAAAAAAGTATTGAAAATTTAAAAGTAATTTATGAGCGTTATTATTAGACACAGCCTATTTATCCTTACGAACGAAAGTTACTTTATCATCAAGACAATTTTATGAAGATAAACTTTGTTCTTTATACCATGTTATTTGGACGCATAGTTTAACCCGGCGAGAATGTGGAGGGGTCAGTTTGACCCTAACAAATTTAAATCGGCTAGATTTTATATTTCGCGCGGGCGCACGTTTTCGAATGTCTCAGTAGCTGTCACGAATAGACCACAGCGCACCCCGCACGCCTCTATTTAGTCGGCCGTCGCCTGCGATGGGAGTTGGACGTGCGCAAAGCGAATAAGGGTGAATATGACCCCGCGACAATCGCGACGTAACATTTTTTTTACGATTTTTTATTTTTGTTTTATTTGAATATTGTTGTCTTTATAGGTATTTTTGATTAAAATGAGTCGGCAAGAAAATCGAGATGAGTGGATACGTCAAAAATTGATGGAATCAGACAGCGAAAATGAGTTCCTGTTAGAAAGCAGTGAAAATGAAGATCATTTGAGTGTACGCAGTTGCGGTAGTGATACTGAGCAGAACATAAGCAGTGAATATGACAGCGAAGATGACGTTCCGATATCGAGCTTGCGAAGCCAGAATAAAATTCTGCTTGAAGAAGAGGAATTAGATGCCCAGGTGAGGGATTCGTTTTATACAGGTAAAGATGGCTCCAAGTGGTTCAAAAATCCGCCTTCACGGCAAGTTCGGACGCGCTCAGAAAATATTATCAGACAAACACCTGGTGTGAGCGCAGAAGCAAGATTAGCACAGTCAGAACTTGAATGTTGGAGCTTGTTTTGTCCCGAAAATATGATTTCCATTATCCTGACTCACACAAATCTACAAATTCGAGAGAGAAATGCTAGTCGTGAAAACCTTCCTCACTTCATGATAGAATTAGAAATGAGTGAATTGAAGGCTTTCATCGGTTTATTGTATATTGCCGGATTTTATCGCTCTGGAAGGCAAAATACTGCAGATCTGTGGGCTTCCGATGGTACAGGAGTCGAAATATTTCGGTTGACAATGTCACGTCAACGATTTCATTTTATTCAGAGCTGTCTCCGTTTTGATGATAAATCTACGCGTGAAGAGAGAAAACTATTGGACAACTTAGCTCCTATACGTGAAATATTCGAGCTGTTCGTTGAGAACTGTAAGAAATCATACGTCTTGGGCGAATATGTCACCATTGACGAAATGTTGCTGGCATTTAGAGGAAGGTGCAAATTTAGACAATACATACCAACCAAGCCTGCAAAATATGGCATAAAGGTCTTAGCAATGGATGACGCGCAAAATTTTTACATTTTCAACCTCGAAATTTATGCAGGAAAGCAGCCAGAAGGACCATTTTCCGTAAACAATAAACCTTTTGACGTAGTGAATCGTCTAGTGCTTCCCATTTCAAAAACTGGGCGGAATGTTACTTTTGACAACTGGTTTACTAGTTATGAACTTGTGTCACATCTACTCAACGAGCACAAGCTGACTTCTGTGGGCACAGTGCGGAAAAACAAGAGAGTACTCCCGAACAAGTTCTTGAAAACGAGCGATCGTGATGCAGATGTTTATTCATCGAAGTTCGGCTTTCAAAAAGATATAACTCTGGTATCCTACATACCAAAGAAGAAAAAAGTTGTTCTGCTCATTTCAAGTCTCCATCACGACGCTGATATTGACGAAACTACTGGAGAGAGAAAAAACCCAGAAATAAACACATTCTATAACTCCACTAAAGGAGGAGTAGACGTTGTAGATGAGTTGTCCGCAACTTATGATGTAAGCCGCAACTCCAAAAAATGGCCTCTGACTGTGTTCTATGCAATTTTGAATATGGCAGGGATCAATGCAAATATTGTATTCAAATGTAATACAAATTCAACTCAAAAACGCCGTAATTTTATCAAAACTTTGGGCCGTATGATGGTAGCCGAACATATGAGTGCTCGTAAAGAAATACCTCAGTTGTCCAGCCAGCTACGTAAAAGAATGAGAGAATTTGGAGGAGAATCTGCTCAGGAGACGCCTGTAAGGGTCCCAGGTGTACGAAAAAGGTGCCAAGTGTGTCCTTATGCCAGACATCGAAAGACGAGCAATGTCTGTGAAGATTGTCATAAGTACATTTGTCCAGAACACACAGTTTCTTTTTGCCAAGAATGTGCTGCAATAACTGACAATAATATTGAGTAACTATAAGTTTTTTTATTTTATTTTATGTGAAACTGATTGATCTTATTGTTGATTACCAAATTATCTTAGTTAGTTTGTTTTTTTACTTATATTCTATGTTACGTTGTTTTATGTACGTAAGTGTTGAAAAAACTTGTTTGATTTTTAAGTATTATAAAAGTGTGAATAATAACTAAGTTTTGTACCAATATTGATGTTTATTTTTATTTACATGGTAAAAGAAATGCCTATTTCCTTTCATTATTATGTAAAAGTCACAAAAAAATCGAACAATTTCGAAAACAATGCAATTAAAATACAGGGTCATAGATACCCTCCGCAACCTCCATGTAATTATTTTCACCACATTCTCGCCGGGTTAAGAGATAATGTAAAATTAAAATAATTCAATACTTGGCTGGGCGCGCGAACGACGCTTAAACCCTAGCCGTTATAAAATGATTCAACTAGGTCATGTCGCGCACCTCGGACACCGCGGGGCACAGCTAGTTATTTATATTCGTAGTTTATTGCAATAACTATAAGAATAAAATAGTATTCTGTTTGATTCTTATAATAGAAAAACCTTTATTTAACAAACACAATAAATAATAAAATAAAAGCAAAATAACAAGTTCGTCTCCGGCAACAAGTGTGTACCGACACAATTTTAGTGAACAGACTATATAGCAAATAGTTCCTGGTACTGTATATAATGACGTAGATTGTGGTCTCCAATGCATTCCAGCGACTCAAAACACAATAAAAATAATTAATATAAGATAAAAATAGCACATTTTCCATTGATAATAAATGCATGGTTTAAGCACTCGAAAATGGTTTAAGTATTTTTTCGGTCATTTAGATTAAAATTATTTTTATTAAACAATAAATATATTACTAAACATAACTTGTAATAAAATAGTAAAACTAGCGGCCTTTACACGTAGACTTCGAAGAGCACTCCGTAGAGTGACGTTATGAATTAAGCATATGAGCGCACCCCGAAGCGGCGACTTAACGCACGCTGCAATTTATTGCGTAGAAACAAATACTTCTATGTATAGTACTGGATAGGCAATTCAGAACTTTTCTTAGTCACATTGATCAAAATAAGTGTTAGATTTTCGGACACGTTCGCAGTTTAGAAAACAAAGAACCAGTCGTCTCGCCCACTCGCATCCGATTAAAGGAGAATTGACCGTTACTTAGTGCGCAATGTAATTAGTACCCTAGTACCTGTCTAGTAATATAAATAGAAGTCTTTGTGTATAAAAAGAGGTTTAGTTCAGCGTACGCGTTAAGAGCTTGCAATGCCACGTGCACTCAAACTGTTCGACACATGTTGGTTCATCAGTTTTGGGCGCAGTTTAGCGGGGCGCAAGAGGTGTCCCTAATAGATGCCATACACGATCCAGTTTAACGTCAAGTTTGTAGCGCGCTTGAAGCGGCGTCCGGTAAACTTTACTTTGTATGGCTATCAGTGTGTATGATAAGTCTACTTGAAGCAAAAATTGAATTACGATTCTGCCGACTTGGTCAAGCTTGCAGCGTCATGTACACTTGAACGTATGTAGAAGCAGTCAAGTATGCATGACGTTAGTCGGAGCAATAAGCGAGAGACGCCATGGTTCCAACAGGTGCGGCATCATGTAAACTTGACGGCGAACTTGAACGTGAGTGTGAGTGATGCACTCCAAACTGTAAGGTAAATTGGATCGTGTATGACATCGATAAGTTATTAAAGTTCTGTCTTCATCTGCTTTTACAGATAGTAACAGACGTTTAGGCGATATGGCACGATACGAATGGGAAAAGCATGCTTATACTATTATTATTAGTGTTAACCCGGAGCTTAGTTGGTAGTAACCGTGCCTGCGAATCGAAGGGTGCCGAGTATCCTACGCTCCGAAACCTACGTGTGTAGGCCATTAAAAATTTTGACAACTAACATTACAACAGCCTCAAACAGCGTCAATTTATGATAAAACCTTTTATAATGACCTAAGTTATACTTTGTAAAAATTATACTAATGTTCAAGGACTGTTAAAAATTCTGCGCGCGGCTGCGAATTCTTCAATGAATTTATATCTATTTATTTTTTCATTCATTACAGCATATCAAAGTCCAAAGTCGTTATCTCGCAATTTTTTTATTTTACAAAAAACGTAAAAACTGTCACGTGTTAATCCTGGAAATTATCTATCTGTGTGCCAAATTTCATCAAACTAATTAGGCGTTTATATGTGCGTAACAAACATCCAAATGTTTGAAGATGATATTTGAAGAACAGAAATTATAACGACGGTATACAATTTTTCTCCATGACGTTATGACGAAACTACAAAATTACATATTTTAATATTTACTCGATTAAGTTTTTTTCATTCGCTATAAAACTAATTAATTAAGAAACAACATGAAATTTTTACAAAGCCAATTTATAAAAAAGTCTTTTACATATCACCTTATACAAGAATACCTACAATAGTGATTGTATACCAGGACCCTATCTACTAACGTTAAAATTTGACAAATTGTAAGTAACACTGTTAAATATTTGTTACTTAAACTAAAAGCCTGTCATGTTCGGTGATTTTTTTACACATGTGTTTTTAACATTCACCTGTCAGAATTGTTCTGCAATAATTCATTCATTTATTACAACAGTCTATAAAAGTTTACTACAAAAGATAGGCCTCTGCATATTAAAATTGCTTCATAAAGTGGATATTTCTCATAGTTGCCACGCTTGGCGGGTTGGTTATTTAGTCGCAGTATGTTATTTTGAAGTTTTTATCCCCCCCCCCCCCACGCCGCCACACACTCGTCCAGTGACATGGGGAGTAGCGTGGAAAGGAGGCAGAGACGTAGTGTGGCCACAATACTCGTCATGCCGCACGTCATGCTCCTCGTCATATCCATAGCTTTAGCTGTTTTGTCGGATTTTTCGGCGCGTTTGTCAAAGGACTGGCAATATGAGCGCGAGTGGTTGGCCACATACTAGCGCGAACGCAGTCCGAATCTAGCGCTCGTTACGTCTAATGCGATGAATAGATGTCATCCACCATCTCCGTTGGCGAGAACGACGACGTATATTTCTTTTTATGACATTGATATAATTAACTATACTAAATATGCATATAACGTGCATGCTGCCACAGTTGCATTAACCATTGTGTTGCAAACGCAAGCGACCTAGTGCGGAGCGTCGCGATTAATTGCGCGAGTAGAGCAGTGTGTGGGCAGTGAGGAGTGAGGACAACACCGCGGCAGCGCGAGGAGCATGGTGTGGCTGAGCCATTAGAAACACGCTGTCGCCCATGTCCTGGTTTGTTTCCCTAGTTTTGTGTTGTCCCTCTTACGACAGCCACGAGACGATATGGTAGTAGATATTCTTACAGCGCCTCTATTACACTACAATATTGTAAGCTTGTAACTAAAATTCTGCATATGATACAGTTTTTCTGACAAATTTCTAAATTATTGCCTGTCAAGATAAAACCTTTATAGAACAAAAATATGCTAAAATGAAGTTAGAATTTTAAATTTCTTTAAATTTTCAACCATGACAAATCTGTAATTCTTTTTTTTTAATATAATATTTTAACTTTTATTAGATAGGGCCCAGGCCTCATACAATTATGTATTAGGGAACAACATTATTTATCAATATAAAATGATATTTATTAAAGGCAGTAAATCATTACGTCCAAAAATTTATCCTTACAACTAGTTTATATTGCGATAAATGTATAAAATTTTAACATATTACATGGTTACTAATTACCTACTTCATTTATATGTCGACTATATTTAAATGACAAAATGTTATTACATAGTTTAATATGAAATGGTGTTATCAACCTCCAAATGCACGAAATTTGGGAATATTTAGTTTTATAAGAATATAGACTACTCTGTTCTAAGTGTATCTGTTTTACATAAAAGATCCAACAGTTGTTTTACTTTTGCTTTGAGAATATAATGTTGACTTAACACTAGACTTAATTTTAAATTTGTAATATCCCAATGGCAGTACTTGTGATTAGGTATGAAATTGTTTCCGTTATCATAATTATAGACAACTTGAGTTTGATCCCCACTAAGACCAAAAAAATTGTTAATTATACTTTCATGAGCTGATTTGCTGTTGAGGAAAGTTGTTTCTAAGGTATTAACGATATTTAGAGGGAAACTGAAGCCCGTCACAAACAAACCTTTTTACCTGCTTCGAAACTTCCCAGAAATCAAAGATCTGTGCCCAGAACGGACGTATGTACGTAGGTTGGTTAACTTTACAAATGTGTTTGCTTTAATATTATTTGTGACAAAATATATTTAACTATATAGTTCATGAGCCGGCCATATAGCTCGAAGAACCGACAACCGATGGGGAAAAAAGGTTCTCGAGTGGCAGCCTCGCACCTGTAGGCAAAGTGTTGTTCGACCCCACATTAGATGGAGTGACGACCGGGTATGACATGCAGGAAGTCGATGGATGCAGGTGGTTCAGGATCATGCTTTGTGGCATTACTTGGGGGTGGCCTATGTTCAGCAGTGGACTTGTGAAGGGCTGTAATGATGATGATAAAGTTCACAATTCAAAACAAAAATAATATTTGACCGTTACCTTGTAAGCCCATAAAGGATAATAAAAACAACTGATGAAGATAACCAAAAGTATGTACGTTGGCCAATGTAGAAAGATCCCTATAATTGTGGCACTGTTATGTAAGCAGAATACGAAAGCACAAATCTAGTAAAACCAGAGACGGCAAGTGAAGACGCGGCTTTGAAAGTGTATCTGCGAATGGATCCAGCAAAAAACCAACAGGTCAAGGAAGAATTTAAAATCGATATCTATCGTTTGTGCAATTTATGCAGAATACGGATCTATGCACACTGGACATTCTTGCCCACTACATGTAAACGGATACCTTAAAAGGATGTATAAACTGTTAACGTAATCTCTTTTAGCATTGCATCTGAAGAACACAGGTCCACGTTTATGGGACGGGGTTATGAAAACACTAAATTGTCCATGTCATCTTGTTAAAGATGAATGGTCGGATGCAGACGAGGCCAGAATATATCAGAATATATCGTCTGCATCCGAACACCAAATAGCACTTGTTTCTATTGCTTTTCCATTAAATTTAAATACACTTGTACACGAGTCGTATTTACAAGCACCAATTTTATTCTCTAATGCTGTGGCGTTTAGCATCTGAAAAACATAAGTATACCGTACCGACATATACCGGATGAGTTACCATCAATCACATTTTCTTTATCGCCGTTGCATTTACACCCGGTTTCAATATTAAGCAAAACGTGCCGTTTTTCAGAGCAGATAGGCCATGAAAAAGTAATACATATAACGCAATATTGATTAAAACGTCGACACTTATATTTATATTTTAAAGGTGAATAGCGAGCCCGCAAACAAATTTTTGTTGACATTTTTTGCTTGCGTCTACAAATGAAAAAAATGTAAAAATATAGTTTGAAATCCTGAACAATTTTTTCTTTAGTCATACTACTGCAGTAAGAACTTTGCTTCCCTTAATTGGCAAATCGTTACAACTTGTCAATATAATTTCCAATTATGATTATATATAGTAATTACTAGCAAGGTGGGAATCCTAAAATAAGTCATTAGTATATCGAGAAGAGTTTTGTGAACAAAATACACATCAAACTAGGCTGTATGGTATAAGGCCTTTACCTGACTTAATTGGTGTATCGTAACAACTACAACAACTAGTCAGTCAATTTAGTTTTAAATTAGGTATAATGATTTTTTCAGACTTCGATAGGTCATAAGCTTAATAAGATAAAACATAGTAAATTATTTTATTGATATATGTAACGGTGACTTAAGTACTCTTAAAAATTCCAGCAAATTTTTTTTTTCCTATTGTCCTTTTAAAGTATCGAGATCGAATATAAAAGTCGTCATATCCAACGAATATATTGTAATAAATAAGACTTTACAAAGGTATGCAGCGTACTTTGTATATATAATATTAGCCGAAATGGAAAACGAAACGAATTTTGAATATAAGGGCATTAAATATAAGACCTAAGTTCATCATCTACACCGGACATTTTTGCATGGAAGCACCAATTTGCAGGGCTTGATAATGTTACCACATCCCACTAAAAATAACGTTACCTGTTCATTCTAATTATCAAAAAATAACGTTTAAAAAGGAGCTACAGCACACGGAATCGTCGCGCCGTTAGTTGTAATTTTAAAACCTGAATTTAACACCTTTTTGATATAAAATGTTAAATCGCCATGAAATCAAAACGATAACGATTGACGTTGAATTTATCTATAAAATTAAAATAACGAGTAACGTTATTTAAATTTACAGTTAACACTTCGTCAATGATAAATAATACAACGTTACATATAGTTATAACTCTACGTTTGTTTGACAATGGTAACGTTACCACCATTTAGGCCCGCCACATAGATACGGAATTGCGTTTCGAGATTCCGTTTCGGAATTCTGAACGGGTCGGCCATACACATACGGAATCCTGTTTTGCTCGCAAAATTTCGAACGGAAAACTTCCGTACGTGTGTGACAGGTCATAGATTTGATGTGAACTTGATGCGTTCGGAATCTCGAATCGGAATATCGAAACGGAATCCCGAAACGGAATTCCGTATGTATGTGGCGGGCCTTACCGGTATTTCAATCTTTGTCAATTTGTATCTTCTGAAGTTGCAAAGGTGTACGTGGAACAATTCCTTCATACAGTACAAGTCCAATTATGGAAATGTACAAATTTAGAAGATGCCCGTGACAATCTCACGTGTTTAGACCTGTTTATGGGAGTACATAACATACTAATCATTTAGGTATTCAGTTTTCAAGAATGTGAAGAAGTGTTAATAAACAAGTCTTCATATCAGTTGCGTTCTCTTTATCACCATCACAACATCAACACTAAATGTGACCATTTTATCAGATAAAATATATCTTTGTCGTTGTTACATTTGATGCAGAAGGAGGGGTCTACCACGATCGCCCGAAATCGCACGAAATCACCCATTTACATTCGTCTCTGTCGCCATTGCATTTGAAGATTAGGGGTTTACATACACCGGAAGCAATGATACTGAAGCACTAATTTGTCCTTGTCACTTGTCGTCGTGCACAGAGCAGCCGGGGGCGGGGGGTGTGGGGGTGTGGGGGGGCGGCTACTCGCGCCGGTGGCCGCAGCACGCCGTGCAGTCGAGGCAGCTGTGCGGCGCGCCTCGAGACCGCTACCTTTTGCCGCGACACAAGTTCAGTTGCTCCTGTAAGTTTTAAGACAAACATTTCCTACGTTAAAAGGCATTTAGCAATCCCTTCTCTATATCTGCATTTGGTGCCACACTTTATGGTTTTTTATTTAAAATAAAATAATTACATTTTAACAATAAATCAAGTCTGCATTTAGTGCATTTGTAATAGTGAGAGATAAGAGTAAAACATATAATTTTTATCAGAAGTTTTATAACTGATAAAACTTAGAAACATCTCTGCGGTGATGCCCTAGACCAGTGCCTGGTGTGTCTTATTACAAATCCATCACATCCACACACACAACATCATCATCATCGCATGCATATTTGTCCAGCATAAAGTAGACGTGCAACATTCGGTGGAAAAAAAGTTTGCTTAGAATCAGGAAATAAAATATCAAAATAAAAACGTAGTCGATTAAGAATCTAATTCAATAATATGCCTTACCTTAGTATCGAAAAATATTATATCGCTTAAAAAAAAGAGTGTCGAACGTCATAGTATTTTCCCGGTGATTATTTTTGTCTAATCTGGCCTCAGGCAAGGCATACACATTTAGATTTTGTTTTTACCGATTTTATCAATTCCTCTAGCTACATGACCGGTCCATTACTACTTCAGCTTACTGATCCATGGAGCTATGTCGGTTACTGTGAATCTACTGCGGAAATCCTCATTTCTAAGCCTATCACGCAGAGAAACTCCGATCATAGATCTCGCCATAGCTCGCTGAGCGACCTAGAGCTTCCTCATACGACAGTAGTGACAGAACACGTCTCATGTCCATATATCATCACTATCAACACGCACTGGTTGTACTTTTCAAGTTTTGACGTATACGTACCGAGAATTAATGTCCCGAACGCAGGCCATCTGAGTTGAATACGTTGGTTAACCTCTCAGTCGAAGTTGAATTTACCTAGTCGGACTATTTGTCCCAGGTAAACTCGTCAACAATTTCGAGCTGAGTGCTACCAACAACTACGGGCATAGGTGGCATGGAAGTTACACAAGATTTTGTATGACCAAATTTATAATTTAAGGAGAATATTGACATCATTCCTTTACTATTTGTTTCTTAAAAATTCCTCATTTATTAGAAACTAGCTGTTTCCCGCGACTTCGCCCGCGTGTAATTTGTTACGATTGAATTTCATGTGTTTTAATTTTTTGCGCGGAACCCTAATTATTTTTCAAAAACAAAAATAGCTAAGTTACTCCTTATAACATCAGCTATCTGCCAGTGAAAGTCCGGTCAAAATCGGTCCAGCCATTCCGGAGATTAGCCGGAACAAACAGACATGACAGACAGACAAAAATTAAAAAAAATGTGCTTTTGTTATAAGTACCGTATATACTTGCATATGCATTTAGTAAAAAGCTGTTTTTTTTACATTGCGAACAGACGATTCGGTTTTATTTATTAGTATAGATGTATAAATAATTATTAAAAGTTACTAATTTCTCCTGTGTCGTAGGCGTTTACATAAATATGAATATATCCGGATGTTCGCGCCAAACGCTAATTTCAAGAATTGAAGCCAGGGGGCGCGCTCAGTGCGGTGATTTCCTACCGGTTGACGTTCGCGCGAGATCAGGTTGGTTGCGAGCAGTGCGCGTCGGAAGTATTAATGCAGCGCGGTCACTAGAACGGCGTGGTCGCGTCCCGTATAACCTCTATATAAAGTCGGTTTTTGTTAGCAAATTTATGCAACGACAAGGTGTTTTGTTGAGTCTAGGAAAATAGATTTTCTGCGCGGACGCCGGGACGGTTAATGGTTTTGGAAGTTAACATTGATTGCAATCTACGTCCTAATTTGAGTATTGTGCGCACCTAATTACTATCGAAGATTTGGGTATCTTTAATACCGCCTCGAATGGAGTGTCGGTTTGAGCTTTACGTGACACGAGGCCTAATTTGAGTTTTGAGTGATTTAAGTAACTGATTACCAATATTTGTTGCGCGACGGATGAATTGTATTGAGTTTGAATCATTAACTTAATTTAATTGACATTAATTTGATTCGACGATTTGCTTCGTGGCATTTTGATATCGTGCGAGTGAACCCGGAACATTGAATATTAAATTTGAACGACGGTTCGTTACTTGTGTCGTGCTGCTCCGTTGAACTGTGAAGTCGCGCGAAAAAGGGAAGTTATTAGAATCGCGTGTGCTCGATTATAATCTGTTGCTGGGTGAAAATGGAAGTTGAACTTTGATCACCGTTCATTAGTTGTGCCGTGTGTCACGTGTTTGATTTCGATGAACGTTGAATTGGTTGACTTTGAAGTTAATTATATGTACGATAAGGTTGATGAACTGAAATAGTGAAGTGACGTCAGACTTGAGTTTAGATAAAGTGAACTATTACTGGAGGATCGCACATTTGAAGAAACGCAGCGACTGCGGATCGGCGGTTCGACTTCCACGGCTAAAACAGGTTTCTTGTTCTTGTTTTTTTTCTTGTTTTTAAAAACGTTACCCCCACACTAGGATTTTCTCCTGTATCGTAGAGGCAGTTTACAAACTTAAATTGCACAAGGACAAACATCCAGACCCGGAACAATTATTCGTAGACCATACAAATACTTATTCCGTGCGGGATTCGAACCCGCGGCCCCCAGCGTTGTAATTCATTGCTAAGCCACTGCGCTACGGAACTGTCAACACATGTCCACACTACTCCACACTACTCACATGTACATACTTAACGCCTGACCGCGCCTTGGGGTCGGTTCTCGATTCGGAACCAGGTACGTATTATTTATTTACCTAACCCTTATATATATTGATTATCCATCGGCACTTTGAGCCCCACCCTTAGTTGTCCGTCGAATCTACAGCTGTATGGGCCCCTGTATGGTCGATCTTTGTCGGGGCAACTAGGGGCGTGTACACCGGACATACATCTATATGCACGACTATACAAAATACGATCGTCGAAAGTTAACTTCAAAAATTATGTTGAGTGTCGTCATATATCATGCATGAAGTTGTGGATATAAGTGAGTAAAAACAAGTGCACTAAGAAATACACAAGCGAACATATAAAATCCACTTCGAGCTTCGAACCTGCAATACACGGACGGTATCCAACAGTTCCTGCTTGTCGGTCAACAAGCTGGCGGCCTCTTGCTGTGCAGCGTGGACGCATTGCTTCAGTACTGACGCTTCTTCGGCTATCCTGCAATAAATTAAGATGAACATTAATAAGTTAATAACTCTACAACTTTTGTTGTAAATTTTTGAAGATCAGGCTTGAAGGCCCAAAAACTTTTAATGACATGCATGTAGCTTGTAACACTGTATGGTTTCTAATATTTACAAAAAACACGAATTTCGTGTCGTAAAACATTCGAATAGCTACAAGGTAAAAATTTTGTATATATTATTATTATGATCCATTCTTAATGTGATAATGATGAAAGAACCATTATATCTCGTTTCGCCTATGGCATAAGAGTTATGCATCATATGTGATTGGAAATTTCTTGGGGATTTACAGAGTGCTTATTAACAGTTACGTATACAACACGTAACATAATTAACGCACATCCTGAAAGTAGTTTGTTCAGAATCGTTTACTGAATCGATATCTATAATTTTTAATATAGGTAATTTTTTATCCCAAAAATTATTAAAACTACGTAAATTATAGTCACAGTAAACCTATATAGACTTTTAAAAGTGCAGTTTTATTTGTACTAATACAAATTCCGTCATTCAATACAAAATAAAGAAAATTGAACCTTATTTCAAGCATGTTATACTCGCGACAATCTAAAAAGCCCGATTTGACGTTGCTCATTATACATACTGCGATAACTTTGTATGAACGTCTACGTAAGAATCGAAAAATCAAATTCACAATCCGAAATAATTACTATGTTATCTATACACTATAACAATGAGTATTATTCGTAAGCACCAAGCTTCACTTTATATTCGAGAACTGCACCAAAAACACGAATTAATCGTTGATTAATATTCCCACAGGACGTTATTACAATGCCATGTCTGTTATATCTTTGGGTTCGTTGTCGTAGTATTGTGACTGTTATAAACCATTTTTTGAACAAATAAAATCGATGTTCTGAAAAATCGATACTTTTACATTTAGAAAAGAGAGAAACGTATTTTTTAACGTTTAAACATATAAAAACAAAATCTAAATGTTAATATTGGAAATATTTTGGCTTAAAATGCTAATACTTTGATTTTGAAAAAATGTATTTTAACCTCCATTTTTTCTTTCTATGTCATTGATTCGTCAACCCTTCGCGCGGTCTCTCGCTATCTTGGAAGTTTTTGTGTTATTGGTTATTATTATATTTTCTGACACGGCTATCACTCTTGCACTGTTTCTGCTATATTTGTTGATCTTGGCTTGCTAATTCCAGACTTTGATTATGCATTACGTGATTTTGGTGTTATACTAGTACAAGAACGAGTCGCACAAGAGCTTGGAATTGGCATAAAAACTGTGCGATATATTATAAAGGAAAAGTACGGGCCTTTTGGCTGTGAAGATAATGTACTGCACACACCCAAAAAGCGAAAAAAACAAAAACCTGTGACAGGTATCGATAATTTTGATGCTGATGCTATTAGATCTCATGTTTACGGCTACTAGACTGAACAAGAATACCCCACCGTAAGTAAATTACTTGTGTCCCTTAAATCTGCAAAACTTATATGATGGCAGTGCAACATCTATAAAAACAATTCTAAAAATATTCGGTTTTCATACAAAAACCGAAAAACGGAAAATATTGATGGAAAGGTATGAAATGATACTACGAAGAGTATCCTTCTAAAGAGAATTTAATAAAATAACCAACCGGGATAAGGTAATATTTATTAATGTGACATGGTTAAATACTAATTATACTGCGCCACAGTCTTGGACGTATGATACGCAAGCATCCAGTTTAAAAGTTCCAATGGGAATGGGTGGACGCCTCATTATTTGTCATGTTGGAAGGGAAGGTTTTATAAAAAATTGTTTGTTGGCATTAAGATAAGAATTGAGAATAAAAATGTTACGAATTCAGTGAATTTATTTATTTACCTGACCCAACCACACTAATTTATTGTTAATTTTATTCTTGACTAGCGACCCGCCTCGACTTCGTACGGGTGCATATCAGTAGCGTGCCTACATAATATACAATGTTTGTCAGGTTTTAGTGTACGTCTTGGCTTTGAAACTGGTCCAAATTTAAACTTAGTTTGGATTTATGTAATAACCGTTAAATATTACAAACTCGTACATGTATCAAAGCGATATGCCTTGAGAATCAATTTTAAACGATGTAGATACATTGTCCATTACAAACTCTAAATAATCGATATGTCTCGAGAATCGGTTTTTAAAGCAACCAATTTTTTTCCATCATTATGCAAAGTATTTTTATAGCTGTCAAATCGAGCTTCTTAGATTGTCACAAGTATAGTCTTTATAAATACAGAGTTTGGAGTGCCTTGGATCGGTCGCGGCGGCCCTGTCCATTGACCTCCCAGATAACCTGATTTGACGCCTCTTGACCTTTTTTTGTGGGGACGCATTAAATCATTAGTTTATTTTAGTGAGACAACAAGTGCCGAGGACCTAAAAATAGGATAGTGAACGCTTTTAGAATAGTGAAAACTGACACTGAATTGCTTTCTAAATTAAAATATCATTTAAGAAAACGGTCATCAAAATGTATTGATGAACAAGGTGGTGGACATTTTGCACATGTATTAAAATTAAAATACAACGTTGCGTGAGAGTTTAGGCTGTCAGTATTAAATATTTGATTCTTAAAATTATTGTAATCTTTATTCACATCTTTTAAACACGTCGTCTTTGAATTATGTTGTCGTATCGCCTCTTATTTTTAGCAGTTCACTATTATTTACAATTAACTATTTAATCGTCCATCCCGCGCGACTGATTCTCGCCTCACCTGTCCGCGCATTAAAGGTCACTATTTTCTTTGACCGCGCGAGACTGTTTCAACAAAAACGATTACTACTAAAAACCTCTATAGCTACATTCAAATAAAAAAATATTCTCAAAAGACTCAAATAATTCACAATTTAATTTTGTTGAAAGAAAATTAGTCAAATTAAAAATAAAGGCTGAAAATAAAGCTTCAAAATGGGAATATAAAAAAAAATCGTATTTATTTTTATTTCAAGTTTTAAAAGAAAAGTATAATACTTACTGGAGACAATTATTTTATATTATAATAATAATAGTACATAATATTCCCTTTAAAATGACACCAATATCAATAATATCTTATATACTCAATATACATAAGTATATAATGTTTACCCAATATAAATTTGAATAACTAAGTTAATAAATAAATAAAAATAAGTATTAATAATTTCTAGATACATCTCAACAGATATTTCGTTTATAAATTGCTATCAACGTGTTAATAGTGAATCATTATTTTATATTTAGCATTCATTTAACACAAAAACTGATTAGAATTCATTTTAAACGACATATAATCAATAAACGATGATCGCGTATAGTGATTAAAAAGCAAAATTATTATATGTAAACGACTTGGAATTGTCGTAATGATACATATTTCCTAAAGAAAATATCTTCACAATTAGTTTGATGTACAATAACATTAGAAATAATGACTAAAAACAGAAAAGTTATCACATTTTTGATCGAAATTCCCACACTAACAATCCAGAACCAAAAATGTCGAAATTTAATTTTAACTTTTTTTTTCTAAATATTATGTTACTATTATACAGATAAAATTCACTCTCACAGATGATAAATTTCAAAGAACACCATTTATAATTTTTTACTGTATTAATAACAGCTATCTTTTGCGCTGTACGTTTAAACCGAAAGATGTCGTTTGGTGACTATAGTCACCATGGACAAGTGAGGCAATAATTTTTTTGGGGACTATAGTCACCGTGGAAGGTTGGGTAGTTAAAATGTTATGCAAATTCATAACATTTTGTAACGAATATTGCCTATTGACATTGTATCATAATCAATAAACAAAATTGTTTAGAGTTGAAAGTCCAAAGCCTGAAAAGTGTGATGGAAAGATACAATCAAATGTTTACTAGACTTAAATAAACAACTCGATGCTCGGAGTTCTGACATCTGATAATCTTTAACGTAACCAATCATGTATTGTCGGCTTTTTTCGGCACGAATACCTACCTAACTGTGTGTTAACTCGTCTCGAACGCGAACGAATACCTACTAGGCTACTAAGACCCTCATATGACCTATATCAAGCGTTCGTGGATTTGTACGGTGACAACGACATTCTTCCGGAATTACTATAACTAATATGATAAATAATCAATGCATAAACATGTTTAACTAAGAAGTCAGTGTATGTATTATGATTATAACATAATATACTAATTGGGGTGTCTGAGGATGTGCGTTAATTACGTTAGATGTTGTATATCAAATATAAAAAAAATTGGAACAGCGATCAAAATTGCTTCAATTGTTCGAGACCGAATTTATCTCAACTGTCAGTCGCCATCCCACACATCTATCTTAACATACGCATTTCAATCACATGCAGTCTTCTGTTATTTATCTCTTTCGTAGCCCAGTACTCGAATCCATACAATACGATAGTTCTAATGATCATCTTGTAAATTTCCCCCTTCATTTTAAGGGGAAAACGGGGATCGCAAGTCTGTCTGTCTGTCACCATTTGCAAATCAGTAAAAAATCACTCACGCTCTCAACTCCCTGTTGTCGTCCGCTATCCGTGCGAGCGTGGCGAGTCGCTTCCTCAGCTCCTCGTTCTCCTTGGTGAGGCGGTCGATGGCTTCGGTCGCGTGGTCGTGTTGCGGCACGGGTGTTGCGGGCGCGCCGGACGAGGCGGGGGAGGCGCGGGAGGCGGGGGAGGCGGGCGAGGCCACGGTGGAGGGGGTGGCGAGCGGCGGGCCCAGCGACAGCACGCCGGCGCAGTCGCGCGTCAGTCGCAGCCGCGTCAGCTCCACGTCCAGCGGCTGCGGCGGCGGCGACGAGATCGACCGCGTGAGCCGGTCCTCAATCAGGTGTAGCTTCACGTTCTCTAATAGCACCTGCGCCCAGAGGTGTGAGTGTAACAATAGGATACATAAACTCTTAACGCTTGTCAAATATATAGGCAAAATACTACGAACTTCAGAGAGACGAAATTGATTCTTTCACATCCATTTCTCCCGTTATCGTTACAGCCTATTAAAATCCACTGTTGAACATAAGCCTCTCCCATAGATTGCCTCATATTTGGGGGATGGGGGGATTTGCTATAGTTGCCACGCTTGGCAAGCGGGTTGACAACCGCAGTTTTTTATTTTTAGTCGTTATTAGGAAGACACTGCTACCCGTCTGATTTGTTTCCCTCTGTCGTCTCTTATGACACCCACGGGACGAAATGGGGTAGTCGATATTCTTACACCGCCACTACACGATTCTATATATAACAGCATAACTTTGCTTTGTCACTCTTTCCTCATTCTTTCTTTCTACGTATCCAAATCATCGAAGCATTCCTTCCTTCCGGGTCACAGCATCACATTGCCAACAAACACGTTATACATGGTAGAGCCATGCTGCAGCTATATTAGTAGTATAGTTGTAGCACGAATGGGTCGGCTCGCCCGGGGAAGGACCACGCTCTCACAGAATACCAGCGTAAAATAGCAGCTTAACGCTGCTGCGTTTCGTATGGTGAGTGTAAAGAACCGGAGACCCTTTTTACTGGAAAAGAGTTATTCCATCTTAGTTCTCACGGGTAACAACGCATCTACATTTTGATTCGCAAACGAAGATAGATCTATGGGCCACAGCAACCACTTACCATCAGGTGGACTGTGTCCTGGTTAGTCACCCTATCCTATAAAAAAAAAAAACCACTTAGCCACAATTTTCTAAAATTCATTCATAATTATGCGCTCATCGTAAATGTTACAGTACAAAGCAACCAAAATTCATGAATTGCTTTATCACGTGCTCGACGGTGAAGAAAGCACGAGGAAACCTACAAGTCTTAGAAATAAACATTTCGAAGACGTGGCAGCTCCGGCGAACAGAAATGAGAGGAAGCCTGCGCCTAGCAGTGCGACGTATATAGGCTGCAACATTAATTATTACTTTTACTTAATTTTAACTTAAAAATTCTTCTGACAAGTTATTGAAATCACTTTTTTTAAGTATGTAATTTATTAGAGAAAAGTTTTAAAATGCTAAATTAAAAGATAGATGCTACAATATCAAAATAAAGGTACCTCTAGTGGCATTGGCGGTGCTAAAATTTCGTCCTCGATGAACTCCGCCAAAGCTAACGCGGTGCTCATGTTGAGCGGTATACTTAGATCACGCACACGAGCTTCCAACAGCTCTTCGTACGGGGCTAGTCCAGTTGATTCACCCTGAAATATAATTATTCAAAAAACCACTGGAACACTTCAATACTAAGATGGATTTTTATACAACAACTGACTTCAATTAAAAAGGCTGTGTGCTTTGTACATTTAGTAGAATCGGTTTGTATATTTATTAGTGTTATCTTTGTCAAATGCGCTGCCTAATATTTATAGCCAGCGTACATGGCTACTTTGTCGCCTATCATGGATTCAAATTCGTACTGGATTACGGGTAAAATATTTAATTGTTGTTTTTCAAGTCCAGTTGTGTGTATCTTCTAGTCTCTTATTTAGAATTTGAATCGATTTTCATTTTTCATTTTTTTTTCGATTTTTAAAAAAAACGACACCCCCACATTAGGATTTTCTCCTGTATCGTGGAGGCAGTTTACAAACACAAATTGCACAAGAACAAACATCCAGAACCAGAACAATTATTATTTGTAGGCCATACAAATACTTGTTCCGTGCGGGATTCGAACCCGCGGATTTTAGATCACATAATTTCATCGTTCGGAATGTGTACAGCCAAGTAGTAAAATAATTTGCCACTATCTCTTTTCATCCGATTACAATGCTAGTGTAAATATAGGCTCTTGTTAAATTAAATCAGTACGGTTTACCATTTTCCTAGGCCTAAATTAACGTTAAAATATTTTTGTAAATGTACACACCAATTAAATTATTTATTAATATTTCAAGATGATGATTGGCAACGTTTGTAGGTATTGTTCAGTGTGGAGGTAAGAGGTGTTGAGGGTAGTAGTGGTGGGAGTAATGGCGTTTAGGGTAGTGGTATTGGAGGTAGTGATGTTGGCTTTAGTGGTGACAGCTAAAAACATGCGATAATTAATTTTCACATGGCGAAATTGTGAAACATGTTAATAAAACTGTTACCTACTTACAGCCTTACTAATAAAGATTTACACACGACGTATACTAGAGTTATAACGCAAACATTACCAATAAACGACATTTGACAGTTCAGTTGTATACATCTGTTATAACGAGTGTTTAAATTGTATGGAAACTTACGCAACCGTTATACAGTTCTCAACCTTTGTTTAAGACGTGTATAACCTCAATTTGACGTGTGGAGTTTTTGAAAATAATGGATTATTTACAATATTTCGATATTTTTGATGAAATAGACCGTGAGGAACCACCAAGAAAAAGAAAATTTTACAAAAAACGTTTCGATCCCTTTACTCTAGAAGAAAAAGATTTTCGAATGAAATATAGATTCAGTAAAGTATATATGAGAAAAATAGTTAAGTTAGTTCAGCGTGATATCGAACTACAAGCTAGTGGTGGCGGGCTGTCTGTAGAACTTCAAGTTTGTACTGCTCTCAGAACGTGGGCTAGGCAAGAAGTGCAAGATGATGCAGCAGACATTCATGGGCTTAGCCAACAGTCCATCACGAATATTTGCCGAAGAGTAGCTCTTGCTTTGGCAAGTAAAGCGGCACAATTTATATGCATGCCTAGTACTTTAGAAGAACAAGAACAAGTGGTTTCTGGATTTAGAAACATTTGTGGCTTTAAGCAAGTGATTGGTGCTATCGATTGCACGCACATAAAGATTAAAAAAGTTGGAGGCGATAGTGCTCAATATTATATAAACAGAAAGGGATTTTCATCCTTAAATGTCCAGGTAGTTTGTGATGCTCAATTAAAGATAAGGGATATAGTGGCACACTGGAGGGGCAGCACACATGATGCAAGAATATTCAGGGAAAGTCAAATTCGACAACGATTTGAAAATGTCGTTTACTAGGAGATTCTGGCTACGGTTTGACAAATTACTTGTTTACACCAGTCCAGAATCCCCGTACTGCTAAAGAGAAATCTTATAATAAATCACATATTTTGACCAGAAATACAATTGAAAGGTGTTTCGGAGTTTGGAAACAGAGGTTCCGATGTCTATTACTTGGGTTTAGTGTGTCACTGGAAAATGTAAAATTATACATTGTTGCACTTGCGATATTACACAATATTGCCATTGAAATGAATGAAGGCATTGACTTCCTTGAACCAGTCATATCTGAAGATAATGGTGACCAACAAGTGCTAAGGGAAGGTCTTGATAGCCGATCTGGTCAAGAAACAAGGAGATTATTCATTGAAACACAATTTTAGTAACGAAAATGCTTTATTGTGGTAAATTTGTTTTTAAAAGTAATATTTCTAATTTTAGTTTTTCAACTCGAAGCTGTGTTTCTTCTTTTTCCAATAACATTTGTTGTATTTTTAAATTGTGTTCCTCTTTAATAAAATTATGAGCTTCTAACATATTTTTCATTTTTAAACCATGTTCCTCCTTTATGCAACTGACAAGAATATGATTGCGCTCTCTGGTTAAGTCTCTTTCCTGAAATAAATATATTATTATCAATCACAAATTACTAATCCCATTATTTTGTTATACTTGGTAGAGCCATGCTGTAGCTATATTAGTAGTATAGTTGTAGCACGAATGGGTCGACTCGACTGGGGAAGGACCACGCTCTTGCAGAATACCATCATAAAATAGTGGCTTAACGCTGCTGTGTTTCGTATGGTGAGTGTAGAGAACCGCAGACCCTTTTTACTGGAAATGAGGCATTCCATCTTAGTCCCGGGTGACAATGCATCTGCATTTTGATTTGTAATAGAGGATAGATGTAGATGTCTATGGGCCACAGCAACCACTTACCATCAGGTGGACCGTGTGCTCGTTTGTCACCCTATCCTATAAAAAAACTTAAATTAAACATTTTATTAAAATAAAATATAATTTTATTTTACCTCACGTTTGGCTGTATATTTATTATCATTCACATCATTGAATGTTAGTTTCCGTTTTCTTCTAACTATTTCAGTTGGCATCTTTAAAGGTAGTGGTGTAATATTCTGAAATATTAACAAGTCATTCAGAATTCAAAAGATATTAATCTAGGTAAATTTACTCAACAAATTTAAATAAACAAACCTCTTGCACATTCTCATTATTATCTCCTGGAGTGATAAAATAATCTTGTGTTGGTGTATTCACCAAGGACTGCTCCTGACTTTGAACAACTGGATTCTGAAATAGAATATCACACATTGATATCATAATCATAAGACATAACATACTAATTCTGATACTTAACATTGTGTTAGTGCTAAGACAATTATAAAAATATAGTATGAGCTCACTGTTATGCTGTCACTGTCGAAGACATTGGAATCAGTCTCAAATTCCTGTGGAATCATGCTCAAAATGTCAATGGTTTCCGGGTCAGGGCTAAGAGGTTTTGGCCCTCCACCAGTACATTTGATAGATGTCTTTACTTGCGACATGTTTTTCTTTGCATCAAGTTTCATAGTGCGCCACTGTTGCTTCACTTCAGCTAATTCTCTTACCCGGCTATTCAATTCACTAAAACTGAAAATGTCTCAATCATAATTTGCACACAAGAAACGTGAAACAAAATTCATAAACATGGTATTTTACAAACCTTTTCATCACTTTTTGCCAAGCAATGGTCTTACTTTTGTTTGTATTTGTATCGGTGTTTTTATTTTCTATGATGGATACAAATTCCTTCATACAACTTTTTAATAAACTCTGAAAGATAATATACAAAGTTTGATTACAAATTGTGACCATATTGGGAAACAGGAGTTGCAAATGTTTTTCTAGTAAAATTCAATCTTACCTTTTCTAATGCATCCCAATTGGCAGACCGTTTTCTTTTGATAAAGTTTCCATTACTATTAGCCATTATTACACAATTACAGCGATGTTACTAAAAATATAGTAGCTTCTAACGAATTATAAATTACAAAATACAAACAACAAATTGATGATTGAATTGCAAACTGTCTGAATCTGAAAGGTACGCGTACGTTCATAAACTTATTAGGATTATAAATATGGCTTTGTCCAAATAATAATTAGTTTTTATCGCATATAAACATTAGATTATTACTAAATTAAATTTAACAATATTTTGGGCTAAATGTATGTGTTAATAATTAAAAAAAGAGAATTTATAAGCTGTTTATGTGTATTCAAAATGTTTCTATAACCTGACAATTTAGTTTCAAAACGTTTTTGATGAACGTTGCCAATGGTTTTTGTTTTAGTGAGTGTATAACTATACAACGCTTATACATCTGTTATTAGTAAAGAGCGTGTGTAACTCTTACCCATAGCTTAAACAGTGTATAAGTACACAGTTGTTAAACAGATGTTTTAAATATTTTTATTAGTAAGACTGTTATAATATACCCACCTTTTCATCTACCGGCCTGGGCAGCTCAGTTCTGATCAATCTGAAAGATACACGCGGAGTATCTCGTGTCTCCATTTCTGTCTGTTCAGTGACAGGCTCCGTCCACGCGCGGGCTCTCATTGAGAATTTGTTCTGTGAGATAACCCGCGAAGAAAACATATAAATGAAAATAATTATAATGTTTATGAGTAAATATTTAATTAATAGATCTAAGTTTTGTTTATTGCGACATTTTGTTACCTAATTATAATTTACCATGCAATCTTTTCTGACTACCTCTATGTTTTCTAGAAGTAAATAGTAACAAAGTCAATCAAATCATATTCTGCAGCAAATTATAATGGCCAATTCTATATTCGATATAATGTTATTACTATTATTAATATTAATATTTAATTGATACATAATGATATCATGCTTATAAGCAATGATAAGCCAGAATTATATTAGCAGCAACTTAAGGATTGAAAGATTGAATATAGTTACAAAATATATTACTAATAGCTGGTTCGGTGAACGTTGTTCTGTTCTTTCCGGTAGGTAAAACGGTAAGTGGAACGACGAATTCCCTTCGGACTTTTTATAGTGTAAGGCCCGCCACATACATACAGAATTCCGTTTCGATATTCCGATTCGGGATTCAGAACGCAGCAAGTCCAAATAAAATCTATGATCCGCCACACACGTACGGTAATTTCCGTACAGAATTTTCTCCGATTCGAGATTCCGTATAACCGCCTGTGCATTCGGAATCCCAAACGGAAAGAGCCGCTCCGAAAGCAAGTCTTCCATAGATTTTGTATGAGTCGCAACACACATTCGTAAGTTCAGTACGGAACGCGCTCAGTGTTCGTCGCACGACCGAAGCGAGTAGGTGTGTTTATATATGTTTTACATTTAATGTTATATTTTGTTTAATAATTCGTCGAATGGATTTACAGACATCCATATTAAAAAAAATATCTCTGGACAGATATATCTTTTTCCATAATATTGACTATATTGCAAGCTTAGATGATGCACCCAGTAACAATGATACAGCAACAATGGAATCGCAATCAGAAAATCGTACTCATTATTACAGCTGACAGAATGTCTAGAGTCAATGGGCTAACGTCTCTCAACTGAGCCTTGTAATTCCGAACGGAAATAAACGTATGTGTATAATGGATTCACGGAATCCGGCACGGAATTCCGTATGTATGTAGCCGGCCTAAATATAAAATTAATTGAGTTAATATATTATATAAGACCACAGCGCCACCTATTGGGTTCAAAATTGATTGATTTATTTTATTCTTTATTGCACCAAAGATTTTGCTTCAAGTCGTTCAGAAATTATAAGATCAATAACAGACATCAACGATATTATAAAAAGATGATATACATATTCATTGAGTTATATGTACTACGTACTAGAGAAGCCATTCCGAACATAGACTATGTTCAACTGAACTGTAGTGCAATCCATACAAACTAAATATTGCGTAAATTGAAGATTTGTGAATTCCATATAATAATTATTATTACATTTTATTTAGAAATATAATATGTTTGTTTAGATTAAATTAAGATATTTTATATTAAATTCTTATATTTATTTTATATTAATATCTTATTTTATATCAAATTAAAGTCCTCGCCCATGCGAGACTACTAATCCCGCGCATGCGCGAAGACATAGAGTAGGACACAATTTTTGTTTGGAATGGCTATGTACTAGAGACTAGTACGTAGTACATATAACTCAATGTACATATTACATACTGTACAAGTATTCAAATATAGGTGAAATGAAAAAAAATAATAATTGGCATATAATAAAATAAACCGTGCCTTGGGATTTAGATAAAATTTACGTTCTACACGTTTCGTTAGTCATAAAACATAATATATTACCAAGTTCAATTTTATTTTTCGTTTTTATCCCATATTATTAGATGGCGTCTTTTAGTTGAAATGATTTAGTTAGAATGAAAACGTTGAAGTTTGAAAATATTTTTAAATAAAATAAATGATTCTCATTTAATTTGGCCTTACAGAAAATCTTATTTACTTGAAGATAACGACGAATATTAGATGATGATTTTATGCACATTGAAAGTACCAACGAGAACATTGTGAATGCATGCGGCGTTGTCCAAAATTGCTAAGAAACAGCGTGCAGTCAAATATGTGCTAAATAAAAAAATATTGCTTGTAAGCAAACGTGCCGTGTTAACCTTAACATAATTAATAATTTCTACGAACAATGTTTACTCTCAAACATTATTAGATTATTAAATTAGTGATTTTATTATAAGATGCCCAATCAACGGCTCAAATTTTAAGCCTCAATATTGTCCATCAACGAACCTAAACTGTGCACTCGTTTAATTTTACGTGTTTTTGACGGGAGGCTGCACAAAGTACTGTGGTGAAACTGCTATTTGTTTATTTATTTATTGCTGCTTATTCTCATAAGGCAATTTTTGTTTAGATGCCATTACTTTCAGAGTTCTAATGATGGGACTGCGCATCTTATAGTTAAAGCAAACATTTTAAGCGGTTATGAAAATGTTTCCATCCCTGTTTTAGTTTTCAAACCAAATAAAAAAATTGTGAGCCGTCGCGGGACGCCTGGCAGATGTGAAACATTGAAATTATTTTTATTTTTGTACAGGTAATATGCATAAAAGTTTAGTTTACGACAGAAAATATTTATGGCATAATGAAAAATAAAATATTAAGAATTTTTTCAAGAAAAAAATGACTGTTTATTTAATAAACATTTATATTCATTAAATACAAAAATTAAAAATTCGCGTCAAAGAATAACTATCAATAAATAATGTTTAAATATAAATTCCAGCATGATTAGAAAATTAAATTTTTTGATGTTCATATTAAAGTTTTATTTTGTTTTAACTTTTCTTTTTTTTAATTAATTAAACATATCTAATACATACTACTACATACATACTATAATATATCGTGGTAACGCATGCCGTGGCGATACGTCGCCACGCCTACCGTCGATTCGACCCGCCGCTATAGATGTTTCACATCAATATATATATGTATGTTCAGAACATTAATTAAATCGGCAGTAAAAAGAAAATCTTTTGTCCTATTAAACATTCCTCGTAAAAGAATTTTGACGGTCTCTCTATTTCACTAAAAGCTGTTTAACATGGCATGCAAGGACAGAGCATAGAAATTATGCAGTTTTTTTTAAAGATTCTGACACCAGTCATGGGACGGAAACATTATAAGCCTCATCCACTCGTGCACAGACAAACCCCCTTGGCTACGACACAAAACCTCTACAAACTAGTTCGCACTCAACAAATGATACCACTACATCCTGTGATAGTGTTGCGATCCAACAACCGCATATATATAGAAAATACCTTGAGTCGAATCTTTCGGTCGCGAGCCGAGCGGGCGGGAGTTGCCATAGAGAAAAAAATACACACATAGACAACAGAGTTAATAAAATACAAATGCATTCCATATTGTTAGTCGATAATATTTTTAACAAATTCAATAATCTCATTGGGTAAGGATAACGATGGATTGTGATATGAAAACGATCATGCAGTAAACAGCGTCCACCATGTTATAAACTTAAAATATTTAACATTAACTTAAGCAGGCGACTGAGTAAATTGTTGATATTGATGTGAAAATTGAACTAAAAATTCAGTATAAAAATAGCTTTTAATTTCTAGTCGATTTTACACACAATGACATGGTAGAGACTGAAACTATGCAAGTGACTAGATCAAAACGAATAAAAACGATGGGGGAAGGGTACGTAAATGTAAAACATGCTAAGAAAATTAACGTTTAAAAACCACTCATAAAATTAAAGAATACAACTCAAAACGTAAATAAATTTAGTGTCAAAAATATACGTATTTAATATTAACAGTGAAATTAAAATGTTGTTATGTAGGAGCAGACAATGTTTGTAAGTTTATATAATTGAATTCCAGTTCAAATTAAATTTGATGCAATTTAATGTATCGCAATTCCAAAAGTTATTTGCTTGTGTGTTAATATTAGTTATTACTTTATGTACATAACATTTTAATTAATGTTAACTAAAATATGAACTTCTATATTTTCATATATAATTAAACACAATGTGACTGTGTACGGATTGTGATCAGTTTTTACTGGAGTGAGTTGAAATGTTATTATGTGAAGTGTGTAATAATCACCTGAAACTCATCCCAGGGTATGGAAGAACACTCATCAGTGCTTAAATCGTCGGCGGCGAAACGCAGAGAGGATTTCCCGTTGGTGCTCTGCTGGACTAGATGGATGTTGTTCAATCGCCATGTGCATGTCGAGATCTTGGCCACGTAAGAATTAATTTAGATAAAAAAAATAGTTTAAATGGATATTTTAAAATCTAACCAATGTTAAATTATAGATTCTAAAAATTATGAATGTATTTCTAAAGATTGGATCTTTTTGATTTTTTTTAACAAGTAAACGAATACTGTTACCGTTACTACCTATTAAGCGTCCACTGCTGAACATAGGCCTTCCCATAAATTGCCTCATTGGATGGATATTTACCATATTTGCCACGCTTAGCAGGTGTGGTGGCAAGCGCAGTTTCTTTTACTTGTTATTGAGAAGATGCTGCTGCCTATCCCCTGGTTTGTTTCCCTCTGTCGCCTCTTATGACACCCACAGGATGATAAAGAGTGGATATTCTTACACCGTCACTGCAAGGTCAAAGAAAACTAATTTAGATTAATATACTTTATAAATAAGTAAATTATTCTCTCGGTGTAACTCACCACGTCGCGTCTCCTACAGGAGCTGGTGACGGAACGATCACTGGGAGATGAAGAGCGCTCCACCACTTCCGCCGCCACCTCAACCCCGCTGGAGATTCTGCCGTGCTCGAACTCCCTGTACATTTTTTTTAATTAGAGAAGCATTAGGAAATGTTCGAACTTATATTATGAACCATTAGCAAAACCACCTGTCATATGAGATATATCGTTGGGTAAAATGGTCCATCATAATCAGATTCACGCTCAAAATAGTGTTTCGACTTGCTTGTAACACGAACAGCAGTACAAATAGTTAAGGAATCGGAGTTCAAATTATAGCCAGGTAATCGTCAAAGTAAGATTAGTTCAAAGAGAAAAGTCAGGCCAAAAACTAATTATTATTGCGTTTAAAAACAATTTCTTTGTGAAAAATATTCTCTTTTTAAAGTTTTTCTTTGAGACTTGAGATTGAAGTGTCATATTTTGATGTAGTGTGCACAAGGTGCATATACAACAGCAAGAAGTTTGAAATATAAAAAGTATAATACACATGTATTAAGCCGGTAGCGAAGCCTCCATAGAAGCCGAGAAGTCGGGCTTACTCTATCAAACTGCTCAATCAATAATATCAACTAATAAAATAACTCGTAAGCTGTTTCAAACTATTTCAAATTTCCCGCGCCCTCCTCTGTTCTACACAGCTCATGACCTCGTAGCCTTATTATGTAACGTCAACACTTGGCAGATTGCTTTACTGCGCGATACTGCTGTCATAAAAAAGGAGTTGAGTTGAGCGATAAGTCGTCTCTCTCACACGCGTGGGCTTTTTACCGGGTTTTCGAGAAGACGATCGCTCCCTTTCTAACCTGTGGCAAAATGTTTTATAATGAAATATAACTACGATTGTTTATATAGCAATTAGTATGGAGCCAAAAGCCCGATTTTTGGTAAAGTTAATCGAGCGCGGGGGCGCCTGGGCGATAGGGATACGTTTGCAACTTCACTTCACATTTCAATGTTTACTCTGTGTGTTTACTTGAGCGAATTAATATTTCGAGTTGAAAATTTATGATTTTTTAAAGATTTTTACTGAAAATGGAGGATAAGAGTGTCCCTTGGGATGAATTGAAGTGTGTGCTAATCACCGAGAAAAAAGTAAAATCTTTAAACTTTGTTGAGAATAAACAGCTCATATTCATATAAACAGTTATTGGTACAATTAATACGTTCACCAACATTTCACGCGGACGTAATCAAATCTTTCTTTAAAAAAGAGAGACGATTCGATTTAGAATAAAAATATTTTTTTTTTGATTTTGTACATAGATTGTTTGTACATACTTTGTTCCTGCTTTTCTTTTGTTCATGTATTGTATTGTATGTAAATATCTTTTTCTTTCGCTCAAGCAAACTCAAACGGCTTTTTTCAAAGCCACCGAAGATATGCATATTATAGTCATACAATCTATCTAGTAGTAGTATGACTTCTGTGTTCTTCGTTAAACACGTCCTCGACAGCACTGAATATGAAACTGAAGAGTGGAAACAGATTAAGATTGGTGTATTTTTATAAAACTGCTAAAACAACAAAACCATATCTTGAGCTTGCTCTAGTTTGTAGCCCTAGGTAGCTTCGTCACTGTATTAAGCAGTCCTTTTGGCCTAAAAATGTAGCAACAATGATTTTGTAATTCATGTCCTTTTATTTGTGCCTAAGTATAATAGCGTTGTCGCTGTATTTAATTTTCCGACTCGAACAAAAAAATCATTAATTTTTTTTGATAATATACTTAATGAAACGGATAATATACCCGTATTAAGAGGAGGGTAGTATAAATTTTCTTTTTAATTTTTTTATGATTAGTGAAATACAAGAGACAGCGAATTGCAAGTGGGCCGGCAGCCCACCGCTGGGCGGGTACCTGAAGGCCGCGTCCGCGTCGTCGGGCGACTCGGCCGCGAGCCCCACCAGCACGTAGCGCTCGCTGTCCGAGCTGGCGGTGGACGCGGCATCGCTGCGCGAGTCGTCGCGGCCCAGCGCGTCCAACGACGTCACCAGTGACGTCAGCCCGCGACGCATCGACGAAAAACCTGCCACCGGACAAATCTTCACCCCTGACGCTCAACTTACGCGCCTGACATATACGTAATTCAAAAAACTTGTAGCACAAATAGATCGGTTCAACTGGGGAAGGATCGCACACTCTATCGCAGAATGCCAGCGTGAAATAGCAGCTCAATGCTGTTCCGTACAGTGAGTGTAGAGAACCGGCCACCCCTTTTTACTGGATACGATACGAGGCATTCCATATTAGTCCTTAGGATCAACAAAGCATCTAACGTATAACGATTCTTCATTAAAAGGTAAATGTAGATGTTTATGGGCCACAGCATTCACTTACCATCAGATGGGCTGTGTGCTCCCTTGTCAAACTTATTCTATAAAAAACTTGTCTAAAAAAATCAAAAATTTCTGTCAAATCAACTGTAACTTTTTGAGTACAGCTTGCAAAGAAAATTTATTTGCATATTAATACGTTTTTTATAAATACAGGTAATAAAATACCTATTTTTCTTTTAAAGTGGCAGTCGGCGGAATACTTTACATACCTACATAAATCTATGTTTTATTGTTATATGGAAAAGTAGCAGTGATGATGATAATGATGTAGACTAGGCAGTTATGCAGTAATGAGTGGAAGTAAAATGCTAGAATCAGAATCAAAATTTATCGTCCATGGTTCAGTTTTAATTTTAAGATGTTGTCTCGGGGTATCACAGTATCTTCGACTTAAATGATAGAGAAACAGCACGAGAGTTAACGGCATCTTAAAATTGAGCAAAGTTTGAGTATTTTGGGCATAGGTTAGGTAGGTTGGTACTTCGAGCAGATATATACGAATTGTTACATTTCATGGTCTTTTTTAATTGTAAGATGCAATGATTATTCGAGAGACTTTATTCTTATCATATTTCATCATTATTTTAGTTAATCAAAAGATAAGGTCTACCTTATAGACCTTATCTATCTGTTAACTAAAATAGTGATAATCTTTTTTTTTTTTGGATTTTTTGTTAGTCGATTCTCGGCTCAGGTAAGCGTTTTAAAAGAATGTTTGAACGTAGTTATTCTTATTTGGAGAAACAAAGGCTTGTTTAATTTAAGGGAAATTTGATATCTAAAATATTTTAAATACTTTCGCTTCATGTCCCGTTCGTTTTTTCCACCCTGTTTACATATTAGTTGCGTGCCACAAACCTCCTCCGAAGGTGATTCCAGGGCTGGGCGGCAGCTCGTCTGCGGGCAGCGGCTGCGCGCTGCACACCTCCACCTGGTCCACTGGCGGCGGCGCCACCGCACCCATGTCGCGCTCCTGAATAGAGGGCGCCATCGTCGCCTCAGAACCTGTACCCATAATCCCCGCTTGATTAATTCATTCTCTAATAACTGGGCCTCATCATTGTGATACACCCTTATCAAAGTCGAAGTCAACAGTCGAAGATGAATCACACACACTCCATACATCCTTGCCTTGGTCCTCATGCGCTTGTAGAAACCTTAGAGAATATAATATAATGATTTTTATTCAATATAGATTATTAAATAATACTTATTGAATGTCATTTTTTTATTTACCACTGGTTCGGAAAATACAGGTTTCCTGGGAAGAACCAGCAAGAAACTTAGTGGGATTATTTTTTAATATATATATATATTTATTTAGTAAAGCTGGAGATATCCGAAATGATCACAAAATTATAAATGTATCTAACATTTACATACTACTCTTTCATACCAATTTTTTTCTAAGAGCTTAAAAAGAAATATAAACACACCCATTTTGAGATCTTGAAGGCTGGAAGAATCTAATGGAACACTATCTAGATCTCTGGAAGACTCTTGTCCCGGACAATTGGACGGCAATACCAGTGTCAATTCTACGGCCGGCACCACCACTCCCATTACTATTGACCTGGAATAAAGATATGTAATAATACATATTAATACCAATTGACTGCCTCGTTGATCTAATGATTGTATGTACAATGGGAGGGCAATTCGACACGACTGGCAAAAGATCAGGCTAAGGAATTACGGCTTACTGTGCAATATCGTGATTCAATACATAGCTATGATGTAAAGCAACCCACACGACATAATATTATCTATTAATGTTAATTGTAGAAAAAGAAAGGTAGTATAATTAAAGAAATAGTACATAGTATAATTAAAGTAATAGTAGAACAACACGTCTCCCTTTCATTTAACACCTTTTCCACATTACAATACTGCTACCACAGAATAAATAATAGTACAAGTAAGTAATAATAGCACAGAAGAATCACTCTCTGATAGCAAACTTGCGAGTTTAAACCTAGTTGTTGCAACTAGGTTTAAACTCGCAAGTCGCCAATGTTCATAATAATTTGCACGCATCGGAAGCGAACTTCGTTAAAATAGCCTACCGATTAAATCTTCGAAAAAAAAAATACAGCGCGCGTACTGAATCAAAATGCACCTTACGTCCACGTGAGAGTCTGTATCAATTAGTCCGTTACACGCCTTGGTTAAGGCCGCTCCTACTGTTAGAGTTTACAGTTAGGTGTTGTGAGAAACTCCGAACGATTTCCTGCCTTGTCGTGGCGGGGGGGCTTAGCAGCCGTGGCATGGTCTCCCGCGGCGAACAAAGAGGAACCCACATGGCTGACCCGTGGTGTAGGGCCGACCCGAGGAGGCCACTCCAAAGGGGTTTAGCGAGCCCACTTCGGATGTGTGTTGGTGGGCTGCGGTGAAAGGGGTGTTCTCTACCCGTACCAGTGCAGCCGAGATGGAGTCCCGGAGGAAGAGTGAGTGTCGGTATTGCGAAGCACCGCTCTCCCTACACTCCGCAGCCGAATCTTGGTTAGCGGCGTAGCCATAGACCAGATCCGCCGCTGGGGTCTGTTGGTTTTTCCTGACTCCAAGGTCTCCGCGTATCGGACCCGGCGGTGTCCGTTTCGCAGTTGCAGTAAGAGACCGTGAAAGGAGGCGCGCGTTGAGTTCCTGTTGCGCCTTACTTGAGAATGAGGGGGGGCGAGAAGTCCTCCCCGAGAAGGGGCAGCGGATGTGTGCGAGAGCGTTCCCGTGGCCCTGACAATATGCGGCGAAGGTGGAACATCATGGGGTTTAAGTTGGTGTGAGTACGACATAACTCGCCCTTGCCCCCGAGAGACAGGCATTTCCCTGTGGAAAAAAGGTGTGAGAAAACAAAGTGAATCCTTTGATATTAGTTGGTAGTAGTTTAGAGTACAGGTATCGGTAATATATTTATAACCGAGGTGTTATGCAATGTATTAGTAATTTGCTGATAATAAGAACATTATTGTTCAATGCGAGGAAGGTTAATAAGCAACATTAAGAAAAATTAAGATTATAACAACGTGAAAATCTTTGAAACTCAGATAATTTATTAGTCATTTTCTGTTTCATATTTTTTTTGCTATTTACAAACATGCGACACGCGACAGCATTATTAATGAAAGAGTGGCAATGAGAAGTGCTTCTATTTTCTATCTCTTTTATCGACCAAGTAACTGTTTAACTATATAGGTATATTTTCATGCCTAAATCGCGGAGTGAGACAGGCCTGCTGCTACTGAAAATTTCTTGTCAGTAACACACAATAACTTATTTTTTGCCCGACCAGTAATTTAAAGCTGGGATCATATGATCATCAGAAGTAGCCGTAGTATATAAATAGGTTGTGACTTTGTTTTAATTTAATTTCATTACAGATATATTTCTTACCCATCATTTCCTTCAGGTTGCCTAGCAGCATCATGCGACAGCCAGGCCATCATTTCGGAGATCTTTTCCAGCTGCCTGAGCAGGAACAATAGTTGGTAGTGGTTCAGTTGGAGGCCCGCGAGACCGCAGGTGCGCGCTATCACCCATATTCGGGAGAAACCCTCGTCGAAATACATCTATTGAAAATGATTTAAATCGTTAGTGGTCTCATTGATTGCCATAGAGAAAGTTAACCCAAATACCACGCAAATTACCTTTTAGACGTGTCCAATCTATCAATCTATCTAGCAATACTCAGGGCTAACACTAATAATTGTCGTCGCAACTCTTTCTTTCTTCGCGTGTTAGATTATTTTAGATTCTAGGATGGGTAGGTAATTTAATAACTGGTTTGTAAGGTAGTTGATATATTTTATTTTACTACTCACCCACAAAACGAGATTGTTTGTACTTACGATTTAAATTATGTTTGTATCATGTTATCCACTTCCGGTTCTTGTTTCACAAGCTTATCGAATAATTAAGGGCTGACTAATTACTTAAATAATTAGTCAGCCCTTAATTATTCGATAAGCTAGTGCTAGCCACGGCTTAGCGTCGTAATTCAGCACATTCCAATGCAGCCTACGGGGAGGCTCGAACAATCATACCCAAGTTGTGTCTCATATTGTAGTATTGATTAATTAATAAAAAGTTATTTATCCTTAATTAATAGAATCAGGAGTTACTTTGCGGAAGTCTATTATATTAAAGTTGGTAAAAAATTTCTTCGCGAACAACCGCTCGATAAAATAAAATGATATGTCTCACCTAGTTTGAAGAGCACCTCCCGCCCTCCCTCAATTGCGTGCACTATCACCGTCACCACTAATCCCAGCACCACTACTCCCATCACCACTACACTAGGAAAGACACACCACTGACGACAATACGACACGTGTTTCGCCTCTACACGAGGCATCTTCAGGTAATCTAGTCTATTACTAGACCGCTTTAGCGGTCAGCCACCGCAGAAGTCCGCCCACAGCGGCTCCACGCGAGCGCAGCACACGTGCTGGTGTAGCTGGTGCAGCTGGTGTGGCACTCACCCAGGCGGTGAGTGGCGTGGCGTCGAGCAGCGGCGCGGGTTTGCAGTTGGTGGCGCGCGCCCCGCAGAAGTCCGCCCACAGCGGCTCCACGCGAGCGCAGCACACGTGCTGGTGTAGCTGGTGCAGCTGGTGTGGCACTCACCCAGGCGGTGAGTGGCGTGGCGTCGAGCAGCGGCGCGGGTTTGCAGTTGGTGGCGCGCGCCCCGCAGAAGTCCGCCCACAGCGGCTCCACGCGAGCGCACCACACGTGCTGGTGTAGCTGGTGCAGCTGGTGTGGCACTCACCCAGGCGGTGAGTGGCGTGGCGTCGAGCAGCGGCGCGGGTTTGCAGTTGGTGGCGCGCGCCCCGCAGAAGTCCGCCCACAGCGGCTCCACGCGAGCGCAGCACACATGCTGGTGTAGCTGGTGCAGCTGGTGTGGCACTCACCCAGGCGGTGAGTGGCGTGGCGTCGAGCAGCGGCGCGGGTTTGCAGTTGGTGGCGCGCGCCCCGCAGAAGTCCGCCCACAGCGGCTCCACGCGAGCGCAGCACACGTGCTGGTGTAGCTGGTGCAGCTGGTGTGGCACTCACCCAGGCGGTGAGTGGCGTGGCGTCGAGCAGCGGCGCGGGTTTGCAGTTGGTGGCGCGCGCCCCGCAGAAGTCCGCCCACAGCGGCTCCACGCGAGCGCAGCACACGTGCTGGTGTAGCTGGTGCAGCTGGTGTGGCACTCACCCAGGCGGTGAGTGGCGTGGCGTCGAGCAGCGGCGCGGGTTTGCAGTTGGTGGCGCGCGCCCCGCAGAAGTCCGCCCACAGCGGCTCCACGCGAGCGCAGCACACGTGCTGGTGTAGCTGGTGCAGCTGGTGTGGCACTCACCCAGGCGGTGAGTGGCGTGGCGTCGAGCAGCGGCGCGGGTTTGCAGTTGGTGGCGCGCGCCCCGCAGAAGTCCGCCCACAGCGGCTCCACGCGAGCGCAGCACACGTGCTGGTGTAGCTGGTGCAGCTGGTGTGGCACTCACCCAGGCGGTGAGTGGCGTGGCGTCGAGCAGCGGCGCGGGTTTGCAGTTGGTGGCGCGCGCCCCGCAGAAGTCCGCCCACAGCGGCTCCACGCGAGCGCAGCACACGTGCTGGTGTAGCTGGTGCAGCTGGTGTGGCACTCACCCAGGCGGTGAGTGGCGTGGCGTCGAGCAGCGGCGCGGGTTTGCAGTTGGTGGCGCGCGCCCCGCAGAAGTCCGCCCACAGCGGCTCCACGCGAGCGCAGCACACGTGCTGGTGTAGCTGGTGCAGCTGGTGTGGCACTCACCCAGGCGGTGAGTGGCGTGGCGTCGAGCAGCGGCGCGGGTTTGCAGTTGGTGGCGCGCGCCCCGCAGAAGTCCGCCCACAGCGGCTCCACGCGAGCGCAGCACACGTGCTGGTGTAGCTGGTGCAGCTGGTGTGGCACTCACCCAGGCGGTGAGTGGCGTGGCGTCGAGCAGCGGCGCGGGTTTGCAGTTGGTGGCGCGTGCCCCGCAGAAGTCCGCCCACAGCGGCTCCACGCGAGCGCAGCACACGTGCTGGTGTAGCTGGTGCAGCTGGTGTGGCACTCACCCAGGCGGTGAGTGGCGTGGCGTCGAGCAGCGGCGCGGGTTTGCAGTTGGTGGCGCGCGCCCCGCAGAAGTCCGCCCACAGCGGCTCCACGCGAGCGCAGCACACGTGCTGGTGTAGCTGGTGCAGCTGGTGTGGCACTCACCCAGGCGGTGAGTGGCGTGGCGTCGAGCAGCGGCGCGGGTTTGCAGTTGGTGGCGCGCGCCCCGCAGAAGTCCGCCCACAGCGGCTCCACGCGAGCGCAGCACACGTGCTGGTGTAGCTGGTGCAGCTGGTGTGGCACTCACCCAGGCGGTGAGTGGCGTGGCGTCGAGCAGCGGCGCGGGTTTGCAGTTGGTGGCGCGCGCCCCGCAGAAGTCCGCCCACAGCGGCTCCACGCGAGCGCAGCACACGTGCTGGTGTAGCTGGTGCAGCTGGTGTGGCACTCACCCAGGCGGTGAGTGGCGTGGCGTCGAGCAGCGGCGCGGGTTTGCAGTTGGTGGCGCGCGCCCCGCAGAAGTCCGCCCACAGCGGCTCCACGCGAGCGCAGCACACGTGCTGGTGTAGCTGGTGCAGCTGGTGTGGCACTCACCCAGGCGGTGAGTGGCGTGGCGTCGAGCAGCGGCGCGGGTTTGCAGTTGGTGGCGCGCGCCCCGCAGAAGTCCGCCCACAGCGGCTCCACGCGAGCGCAGCACACGTGCTGGTGTAGCTGGTGCAGCTGGTGTGGCACTCACCCAGGCGGTGAGTGGCGTGGCGTCGAGCAGCGGCGCGGGTTTGCAGTTGGTGGCGCGCGCCCCGCAGAAGTCCGCCCACAGCGGCTCCACGCGAGCGCAGCACACGTGCTGGTGTAGCTGGTGCAGCTGGTGTGGCACTCACCCAGGCGGTGAGTGGCGTGGCGTCGAGCAGCGGCGCGGGTTTGCAGTTGGTGGCGCGCGCCCCGCAGAAGTCCGCCCACAGCGGCTCCACGCGAGCGCAGCACACGTGCTGGTGTAGCTGGTGCAGCTGGTGTGGCACTCACCCAGGCGGTGAGTGGCGTGGCGTCGAGCAGCGGCGCGGGTTTGCAGTTGGTGGCGCGCGCCCCGCAGAAGTCCGCCCACAGCGGCTCCACGCGAGCGCAGCACACGTGCTGGTGTAGCTGGTGCAGCTGGTGTGGCACTCACCCAGGCGGTGAGTGGCGTGGCGTCGAGCAGCGGCGCGGGTTTGCAGTTGGTGGCGCGTGCCCCGCAGAAGTCCGCCCACAGCGGCTCCACGCGAGCGCAGCACACGTGCTGGTGTAGCTGGTGCAGCTGGTGTGGCACTCACCCAGGCGGTGAGTGGCGTGGCGTCGAGCAGCGGCGCGGGTTTGCAGTTGGTGGCGCGCGCCCCGCAGAAGTCCGCCCACAGCGGCTCCACGCGAGCGCAGCACACGTGCTGGTGTAGCTGGTGCAGCTGGTGTGGCACTCACCCAGGCGGTGAGTGGCGTGGCGTCGAGCAGCGGCGCGGGTTTGCAGTTGGTGGCGCGCGCCCCGCAGAAGTCCGCCCACAGCGGCTCCACGCGAGCGCAGCACACGTGCTGGTGTAGCTGGTGCAGCTGGTGTGGCACTCACCCAGGCGGTGAGTGGCGTGGCGTCGAGCAGCGGCGCGGGTTTGCAGTTGGTGGCGCGCGCCCCGCAGAAGTCCGCCCACAGCGGCTCCACGCGAGCGCAGCACACGTGCTGGTGTAGCTGGTGCAGCTGGTGTGGCACTCACCCAGGCGGTGAGTGGCGTGGCGTCGAGCAGCGGCGCGGGTTTGCAGTTGGTGGCGCGCGCCCCGCAGAAGTCCGCCCACAGCGGCTCCACGCGAGCGCACCACACGTGCTGGTGTAGCTGGTGCAGCTGGTGTGGCACTCACCCAGGCGGTGAGTGGCGTGGCGTCGAGCAGCGGCGCGGGTTTGCAGTTGGTGGCGCGCGCCCCGCAGAAGTCCGCCCACAGCGGCTCCACGCGAGCGCAGCACACGTGCTGGTGTAGCTGGTGCAGCTGGTGTGGCACTCACCCAGGCGGTGAGTGGCGTGGCGTCGAGCAGCGGCGCGGGTTTGCAGTTGGTGGCGCGCGCCCCGCAGAAGTCCGCCCACAGCGGCTCCACGCGAGCGCAGCACACGTGCTGGTGTAGCTGGTGCAGCTGGTGTGGCACTCACCCAGGCGGTGAGTGGCGTGGCGTCGAGCAGCGGCGCGGGTTTGCAGTTGGTGGCGCGCGCCCCGCAGAAGTCCGCCCACAGCGGCTCCACGCGAGCGCAGCACACGTGCTGGTGTAGCTGGTGCAGCTGGTGTGGCACTCACCCAGGCGGTGAGTGGCGTGGCGTCGAGCAGCGGCGCGGGTTTGCAGTTGGTGGCGCGCGCCCCGCAGAAGTCCGCCCACAGCGGCTCCACGCGAGCGCAGCACACGTGCTGGTGTAGCTGGTGCAGCTGGTGTGGCACTCACCCAGGCGGTGAGTGGCGTGGCGTCGAGCAGCGGCGCGGGTTTGCAGTTGGTGGCGCGCGCCCCGCAGAAGTCCGCCCACAGCGGCTCCACGCGAGCGCAGCACACGTGCTGGTGTAGCTGGTGCAGCTGGTGTGGCACTCACCCAGGCGGTGAGTGGCGTGGCGTCGAGCAGCGGCGCGGGTTTGCAGTTGGTGGCGCGCGCCCCGCAGAAGTCCGCCCACAGCGGCTCCACGCGAGCGCAGCACACGTGCTGGTGTAGCTGGTGCAGCTGGTGTGGCACTCACCCAGGCGGTGAGTGGCGTGGCGTCGAGCAGCGGCGCGGGTTTGCAGTTGGTGGCGCGCGCCCCGCAGAAGTCCGCCCACAGCGGCTCCACGCGAGCGCAGCACACGTGCTGGTGTAGCTGGTGCAGCTGGTGTGGCACTCACCCAGGCGGTGAGTGGCGTGGCGTCGAGCAGCGGCGCGGGTTTGCAGTTGGTGGCGCGCGCCCCGCAGAAGTCCGCCCACAGCGGCTCCACGCGAGCGCACCACACGTGCTGGTGTAGCTGGTGCAGCTGGTGTGGCACTCACCCAGGCGGTGAGTGGCGTGGCGTCGAGCAGCGGCGCGGGTTTGCAGTTGGTGGCGCGCGCCCCGCAGAAGTCCGCCCACAGCGGCTCCACGCGAGCGCAGCACACGTGCTGGTGTAGCTGGTGCAGCTGGTGTGGCACTCACCCAGGCGGTGAGTGGCGTGGCGTCGAGCAGCGGCGCGGGTTTGCAGTTGGTGGCGCGCGCCCCGCAGAAGTCCGCCCACAGCGGCTCCACGCGAGCGCAGCACACGTGCTGGTGTAGCTGGTGCAGCTGGTGTGGCACTCACCCAGGCGGTGAGTGGCGTGGCGTCGAGCAGCGGCGCGGGTTTGCAGTTGGTGGCGCGCGCCCCGCAGAAGTCCGCCCACAGCGGCTCCACGCGAGCGCAGCACACGTGCTGGTGTAGCTGGTGCAGCTGGTGTGGCACTCACCCAGGCGGTGAGTGGCGTGGCGTCGAGCAGCGGCGCGGGTTTGCAGTTGGTGGCGCGCGCCCCGCAGAAGTCCGCCCACAGCGGCTCCACGCGAGCGCAGCACACGTGCTGGTGTAGCTGGTGCAGCTGGTGTGGCACTCACCCAGGCGGTGAGTGGCGTGGCGTCGAGCAGCGGCGCGGGTTTGCAGTTGGTGGCGCGCGCCCCGCAGAAGTCCGCCCACAGCGGCTCCACGCGAGCGCAGCACACGTGCTGGTGTAGCTGGTGCAGCTGGTGTGGCACTCACCCAGGCGGTGAGTGGCGTGGCGTCGAGCAGCGGCGCGGGTTTGCAGTTGGTGGCGCGCGCCCCGCAGAAGTCCGCCCACAGCGGCTCCACGCGAGCGCAGCACACGTGCTGGTGTAGCTGGTGCAGCTGGTGTGGCACTCACCCAGGCGGTGAGTGGCGTGGCGTCGAGCAGCGGCGCGGGTTTGCAGTTGGTGGCGCGCGCCCCGCAGAAGTCCGCCCACAGCGGCTCCACGCGAGCGCAGCACACGTGCTGGTGTAGCTGGTGCAGCTGGTGTGGCACTCACCCAGGCGGTGAGTGGCGTGGCGTCGAGCAGCGGCGCGGGTTTGCAGTTGGTGGCGCGCGCCCCGCAGAAGTCCGCCCACAGCGGCTCCACGCGAGCGCAGCACACGTGCTGGTGTAGCTGGTGCAGCTGGTGTGGCACTCACCCAGGCGGTGAGTGGCGTGGCGTCGAGCAGCGGCGCGGGTTTGCAGTTGGTGGCGCGCGCCCCGCAGAAGTCCGCCCACAGCGGCTCCACGCGAGCGCACCACACGTCGCGGCTCTCTCGCCACAGCATCTCTCCGCACACTGCCGTACCGCGCTCGATATCGTCCAGTCCTGCACAAACGACCAAAAAGGATATTATTATGTATGAAGTATTATGACACTAGTAAAATACCCGCGGGTATTTTTTTTTATAGAATAAGGGTAACATACGCGTACTGAGTCTATCTGACTCTGTGCTCGTTTGTCACAAGGGTGTCAAACGAGCACAGATAGCACACCCCCCAGGTGACGGTAAGTGAATGTTTATAGCCCATAGATATCTTTTTTTACTATGCTAAGCCAGCTTTTAACTAATATCTCAACTGATGGTAAGTAGTGATGGAGCCGAAAATGGTTGACAATGATTTAAAAAATCCCATTCACTCTTGTCTTGAAGACGCCCTCCTCATTGTAATCACTCTTCACTGCAAAAAGGAGCCAGCTCACCTTGGCTCCATCTTTGTTTTAATGCGTGGTACGAGGGCGACACTGAAAGTTTTAAGAACTGGCCACTTGTAAACGATATAATAAAAAATAAGTTCAAATTTTGAAAATGGAACTCTTTGCCAGTATTATTGTATATGTATTTTATTCATTTGTCATTTGTTTACGATTTGACGGCAAATTGAAAAATCTCTGTGTCACGTCAGCATGAATTTAAGTCTTTGAAGTACACATGAGGCAATCCAAGGTCACCTTTGTAGAACGCTCCAGAGTATGGTAATATTTAAAAGGACCCCTCAAAACCAAAGAGTATATGATTACTAGGTACGTTTATTCAGAACCATAGTTGTTGTGCTCAGAACAATTATTTTTTAAATGTTATTTATATGAATTATAAAACTAAAATTTTATTAGAATTAGTTTCGTTACGCTTCTTTAAATATTTTTGATTTTCTAAGAACTTTCAGTGTCACCCTCGTAAACGGACACTACTTTGAAAAGATATAATAAAACTAATTCAGTTTTTGATTTTCTAAGAACTTTCAGTGTCACCCTCGTAAGTCGACAAAATCTATATCTATCGTCTAACAGGAAATTAAAATGCAGTTGAGCTGTCACCCCTGATTACTAAGATGGAATACCTCGTTTCTAGCAAAAATTATATGCGGTGGGGGGCAGCACTTTTCTTCCATAAAAGTCCGTGAAGATCGTATCTCAAAGCAGATTCCTACAGCTATCATATTAGGTTTCAATATAATTTAAATAATGATTTTATAATATGAAACACACATTTGTGATTTTTTTTTTTATCTTCAATCACAATCCCTGACGGGGTAGCCAGAGAGAACAGATCGCCAAGTGTCACGATCCTTACATACCTCTTTCGCTTCTTTCAGATTCATTATCTTCTTCATACATGCACGTTTAGGTATCCGAGTACTCTTGACCCTCCCCTCTTCGAGCAATTTGCTCACATGGTCTTCGAAAGTTAGTCTCGGTCAACCTCGACACCTTTTAATATTAACTTTCGCGCTATATATTTTCTTCACCATTCGGTCTTCACTCATTCGCTCAACGTGCCCAAACCATCGAAGCACGCCCTTATCAATTTTGTGATAAGGTCATCTTTCAAACCTGCCATATTGCGAATCTCTTCGTTTCGCTTTCGGTCGGCCATGGTAACGCCGCACATTTTACGAAGAGATCGCATCTCCACTGCATTCAACTTGCTTTTATGCTTCTTCTGGCATACCCAGGTTTCGCTGCCATATAACAAAGTCGGTACCAACACTGCGTTATGTATTGCAAGGCGTGCACTCTTCACTACGCCTTGCCTTTTGACTAACGCAGTCAGGGCACCATTGACTTTGTTCCCGGCATCGACACGCCTGTCCACATCTAAATCACATCTTCCATCCCGGCTAAAAGCACTCCCCAAGTATACAATTTCATTTACCTTCATTTACCATTTGTGAATGAACCAACAAAGTTGCAAATTAATTCCAACATACGTACTGTCCGCGTGTAGTATGAACTGCTCGTGTATGGGGTCGAGGTCATCCGCCGAGCACGGGAACTGTCCACTGCGGGGCGCGGCTCGCCTTAACGCCGCTATTAGCGACGCCAAGTCTGCTCGAGTGCCTGCCGTGTCTGAAACAAGGTTCTCTTTGCTATTTCTAGGACTCAGAAGGACTAACAATATTAGAGGGCGTCCATTAATAGAAGAATAGGCGTTTAAGGCAGGAGAAGGTCAAGTCAAATCTCACGACATCTCACCAGGGAGGTTCGAAAAATTGGAAGTCCCATAACGAAGTAGGAAGATTGAGTTGTCTTTTTTTCTGTGTTCTTTGTTTCTTTACAAACATCGCTCTTGTAATCTAGTTAAGTGCTATCACGAGAGGAGTAAGTTTGAAAACGAAGCGGAATCAATATTTGGATAAAAACACTATTTAATTCTTTACACGAAAACCAGCCAGCCGGAAAGAAAATTTTCACAAAAATAACAACCAAGCAGTATAGCTGTTTCTATTCAACAATAATTTAAAATTAAAAATTTTGTACAGCCGACTACAATATAAGTTATTAAGAATAACTCAAAAACTATTTGTCTGACCTTGATCAAATTCATATGGGACCACACGAGAAGTACCAGCTTTCAAATAAAAAAGAATCATCGAAATCGGTTCACCCAGTAAAAAGTTATGAGGTAACACACATAAAAAAAACATACAGTCGAATTGAGCACCGTCTCCTTTTTAGAAATCGGCAGAAAAGTTTTTAAGTTTTATGGTGTATAGAAAGAATCACTTACTTGCCCTGGCTGATTCACGCACGTTGGTGAAAGTGGCCCTAGCTGTACAAATGTGCAACTCTTTTGGACGATCTCTCTGTTGTGATACATGTTCTGGACCCGCTTCCAATACTATCTGAAAGTACATAACTTTTTGTTAGTACATTATGATTTAAATCAGAGATAATATCACAAGGCTACAGTATCTTGAGGTTCTTCACATCACCACCGAAGCTCTAAAAGTTCATATCGCAAACATTTTAGACATAAAATCGCGCCACTTTTTATTAGAATAGAATAGAATGAATGATTTTTTATTCAATATGGATTATTACATAATACTTATTGAAAGTAATTATTTTATTTATTTTATTTATTTACCACTGGCTCGGAAAATACCTCTGTCCTGGGAAGAACCAGCAAGAAACCCAGCGGGACTTTTTTTTTTAAACATAATTTCACTTAACAATAATTTTGTTTATACAATTTTAAATGAATTTTCATAGAAACAGCATGGTGGCGATCACCTTATTCCCAGGGGTTATTTTCATTCATGTATTTCTTGATATTATAATAACCCTTTTTGTACAGTTTTTCTTTAATAAAACTTTTAAACTTGTTTATTGACAAACTTTGAACATGTTCTGGGATTCTGTTGTAAAAGCGTATACATTGCCCCATAAATGAATTACTAATTCTGTGGAGTCTTGTAAGTGGCATTACAAGCTTATGTTTGTTCCTAGTGTTTAAGGTATGAACATCCTTATTCTTATTAAAGCTATTTATGTTTTTATGTACATAGATTACATTTTCATAAATATATTGCGATGCCAAAGTTAATATGTTTATTTCTTTAAATTTTTCTCTAAGGGACTCTTTACAATTTAGATTATAAATCGCCCGTACGGCTCTCTTTTGCAAAACAAATATAGCTTCAATATCAGTCGCATTACCCCATAGCAAAATTCCATAAGACATTACGCTATGAAAGTAACTAAAATACACTAACCTAGCTGTCTCAACATCTGTGAGACTTCTAATCTTTCTTACAGCATATGCTGCAGAACTAAGTCTGCTTGCTAATTTAGATATATGGGGGCCCCATTGAAGTTTCGCGTCAATAGTAATACCGAGAAAAACAGTGGTATCCACAAGACTCAACTCCTCCCCATTTAAGAGCACATTGGTTTTCGAATGTTTTACATTAGGTATTGTGACTGTTATTAGGTATTATATTAAAATCATCTTCAAAGCATTATTTAAACAATAATACATTAGCAGCAATGGGCCGCCGGTCAAGTCCTCGCCAAAACAACAATTCGTGTTCACGTCATTAATTAAGCAAGCAGTTTCTCAATCTCTTGCCTTGGGCATGATGGCCTCAGCGCGCACGTCGATGTATGTCGGCGGCTGGTCGCTAGGCGCAGTGGCAGCGGTGGCAGCGGTGGCAGCAGTGGCGGCAGCGCGCGCCACGTGCGGCAGGAAGGCGGCCAGCCACACCACGCTGGCCGCCTCCACCGACACGCGCACCGGGCTCAGCTGCACGTACAGCTTCGGCGAGGGCACTGCGCACCCACAAGCAAATTAGATCCGGCTCGAAGGACCAGACATTAAAAAAACTACTTCAATGAAAAATGTGAATGTTGAATAAAACTAGTTTTACGGATTTTATCGCCTTTAATTGTACTTATTTTTAATTCCCGACGTTTCGGGTACGTTCCGATGTCACAGTTAATCCGGAGTACCTTCAGCTTTTTAATCATTACTTTTGGTCTGATCTATGCAGAATGAACACAGTGGTATGCTTGGGCTTAGCTTTAATTTTATAAATTACAGGATCCCAAGCAGGTAATAGTACCCAGCCTCCTTCTCTTTGATTTCCACCTAGTTATAGCTGGCTAGAACTAGGTGCGGTTAGCAGTAGTTGGTTAAATTTAGGTATACTGTTAAATTCGTAAAAATACGAAAAAATTTATCAAGTAATATCAGCGACAGTAGGTTATGATGCGGTTGTCTAATTTATAAATTATGTATGATATATATAATTTATGAATTATGTATGACCGGCTACATACCTCAAAACCTGAAAACGAAATTGTACAACCAATGCGTGTTGCCAGTGATGACTTATGGAACTGAGACGTGGTCCTTCACTGCTGGCCGTATGAGGAAGCTCAAGGTCGCTCAGCGAGCTATGGAGAGGGCTATGCTCGGAGTTTCTCTGCGTGATAAACTTAGGAATGAGGATATCCGCAGTAGAACCAGAGTAACCGACATAGCCCAACGGATTAGTAAGCTGAAGTGGCAGTGGGCCGGCCATATAGCTCGAAGAACCGACAACCGATGGGGAAGAAAGGTTCTCGAGTGGCAGCCTCGTACCGGTAGGCGAAGTGTAGGGCGTCCCCCCACGAGATGGAGTGACGACCTGGTAAGACATGCAGGAAGTCGATGGATGCAGGTGGCTCAGGACCGTGCTTTGTGGCATTCTTTGGGGAGGGCCTATGTTCAGCAGTGGACTTGTGAAGGGCTGTAATGATGATGATGATGATGATGTATGACCGGCTATACCTAGGTGTATACGCACTTCGGCAATTAGTCGTAACATATATATTTCGATGTTATGTAAATAAATGAATAAATAATGTTTATATTATATAAAAAAGTAATATATTTTATATTATATATATAAAAAAGTTCTTTTCTTTATATTATATAAAAAGTTCACTAAAATAATACGCTCAGGGAGTATATCCATACACTATTTATTTCCGAAGGCCTTTATATTTTAAAATATTAATAATTCAAGATGAAGATTACGCCGTTGAGTTAATGATGATAGAGCAATATGTTGTTATTACTCAAAATTAAGATAAAGTATAATCAACAGATTAGGCAGATATCCAACCCTACCGGGGAAGCATACATCTCCAGGGTAATAAAAGAAGGTCAACTCGGCATGCAAAAGTCCCGCGTCTCCAGGTAACGTCGCCTTTTCAGCGCTCACCAATGGACGAGGAGCTTCTCTAGATCTGGTCCCAGTCGATACCTGTATTAGAAAAATAATAATAAAACAATATGAGAAAGATCGAGCTAATGTTTAAAAATCTTTATATTTTCAAATCTTTTTTGATAAATATTTTCCATTTGTACGAATTCAGACTATATGTTGGTGGCGTGTGATTTACATACAGTGTGTTCCTGGATAAAGTGCCCAAATGAAAATGGGTAAAACTAGACCATTATTCATCGACAAAAAGATTGGAAAAAAATGATCGTAATAATTATAATCGATTTTTTAGCTTCTTTAGGAATTGAATCAGCGACCTGACCACGCTACAATATATCGATAAGCCATTGCGCTTTTGAGCAATCGCTATTTACAATTTTTTATAGGTTAAGGGCGGATTCGACCAAATACCATGTTATTCCAGAGTAACTAATCCTAGAATAATTTTACTCTTTGATCTTACTCTCAGATAACTTCGTTTGCGTTTTTCCAACACAAACGTAGAGTAGCTAATACTGGATATTGTTACTCTAGAGTTGGCGAATGAAAAAGGAATGAACACGTAAGCCAACTAAAATCGAAATACAATTGTTTATATACCGCAATGCAAGACTTTCTGTCCACTTAAATTTGCCGGATTATATTAGTGTCAACTGTCACTGAACTAGAATATTATCACAAGTAGAGTTGTTGGTTGATTATTCTTGTAATCTTATTCTTATTTTCTATATTTCATAAATGTTGCATTATTTCAAAAAATAATTACTACAATTATCACAAAAATACAGGAAATTATAAATGCACAACGATAAAATATCCTACTTTTTCAACAAAGCATACGAAAACAGCTGTTAAAATGTAGCGGCCGCCATTAAAATACTCTGGGATAACTTGTTTACTCCATGAATTTTGGCGGTATAACAATTTACTCTCGGATAGACACTTATACCTGGGTTAAGATTTGGTAAAACGAAAGTTCTCTAACTCGAGAGTAATTAGTGATTTTATTCTAAGGATAAGACTTATACTAAGTTTGGTCGAATCCGCCCTTAATGTGGTTCATTATCAGCTATCCCGCTTTGGAATGGTAAAATTGAACAATCACTATCTTACCGGGGTAATTATCTATAAACCATCCGAGGAAATATTTAGAATTGTTAATATGAACTCTATATTAAATAAATAAAAAAATTACTGATAAAAAGAAACGTGTAACTCGTACCTTATTCACGGTGAAATCGTCTATCCGCAGTATGACACACGTGGTCATCAACTTGCCTAGTTGTTGCAGTATTCTCGTGCGCGTCGGTGAAGCTGGAACGTTGTCTTTATTTTAAAAAATTTGTTACAAATAGTTCTTCTTCTTTAACAGTCTTAATGTTTCTAACACTGTCTTTATAATAAAGTGCCAATTAGCGTGCATAAAGGAGATACATATATGTTTATAACTATTTTTCCTTTAATTTGAATTAAAACATTTTTTAGTTTTTAATATTGTATTTAATAATATATCGTATATTATGTTATGTAAATAAATAAATGTAAATTTAATAACTTTTAAATAAAGCAAAATGAATAATATAAATTGTTGGTTTAACGTTCATCAGCATTGTGCGTTCCCATTAAAAGTATTTTAGATCAGATTACTTTTTTAATTGAATGAGCAAGGCTTTTAAGGCTTTCAAGGGCTTTTAAGCGGATTTTGAACAAGTAGTTGATGATTAAAATGGCGATGACAAGGAAACACGAGTAATTAAATTATAACATAGTTGTACCTTGTGAGGTAGTATGTGTGGACGGAGACGTAGCAGTCTGATTAGGCGCAGCATTCGCTTTATGATTGAGACCGTTTGAAACTGGCACTTCAGTCTTCTCTTGATGGGTTGGCTGCTGATATGAAAGGGATTTATTTACATATTGATTATTCGTTTAAATGACTTTTCGAAATATTTAAAATTGAAAACTGTCATGTTTTTGGGGTCAAAGTTAAAAGCTCAATACAGTAAAAAAATGAAAGTAAGTAATAACCTAAATACGTTCTTCTGGAGTTTTGGAGTATATATAAAACTATTTTTGGTCCTAAAGTAATGAAATTATGTTTGTCAAACTTTTCTAAATCACTACTATTTCAAAATGAAGTCCTCGAAATCCTCTGACCGGAGAAGAAAATATCGCACGTCTCTTTTTTATCACTTTTTCGTACAACACTTAGGTTATATAAATAATATTATTACTAATGTATATTTTTTAATAATATTATTACTATCTATATACCTATATATAAGCGAAATACCAGTGACTGACTGACTCATTCATCACGATAGCTCTAAAACTATCCACCCGATTGGCTTGAAATTTAGTATATTTACTCATTTCGCAATGTAGACGCTCACTAAGAACATCCTTATCCTTATCCGTTTTTAGTGTGCTAAAAAATCTTGATATTTTATATCTACGTTATTAACGTCTATGATCGTACGCCCAGGGAAGCGAGCGGGTCACCTAGTATTATATATACTTTAAATTCCCTCGAAATTATTTATATTTTTCAGAAATACAGACTACCTCTCACGATATTCGTCTTGGCCGCAGCATATTCGATATTGGTTTTTAAGTTTAGACAGACAGCAATTAAAAAATCTACCAATTTTATCAGTTTCAATAGTTCAGTTTATACAGGCACTACATTACTTACATAAAAACCACAAGCAAGCATAAAACAAATTTATTTTACTGTAATGCCTAGATGCAATGAAAGACATACAATGGTCATATTGAAAAAAAAACCTTAAGCTTGTGTTAGTCAAAATTAATGAATGACCTTTTATTATAGGTAATTAACTAACTTTATATCAGATTGATTGTTTTTGAATTGATAAAATGATATGAAAGTTAGGATTATGTTATAAATTTGTGGTTTCGGACATTATGATATCTAATGGAATGAACAAACAGGCAAAGGATATAAGCAAACCAAAATATACCTTATTACTGGGAGTTAGTGGTCTAGGGTCTAACGAGTCCAGCAGTGTGGTGCAGAAGGACGATAAAGCTTGTGATAGCCATTGACTGTGTGGTGTGGCTGCTTCCCTGTGAACAGTTTTACGTATGTTATGAATGTTTTAAGGTTTTTGAAGCATGAACTCATCTCATTTCATAATATTAATCATGAAAACGATTGAAATAAAGGAAATTAAACCACATTCACTGACCTATAGCCTCTCCAATGACGTCGGTCGTCGGTAGCCTTGTGGTAGGGGAACAGATCAGCTTGCATGCTCACGAGGGTCAACTGGAGAGCGCCGCCTTTCGCTAGTGACGGCATTTCCGATCTGCCCACTGTAAGTTGCCATTAGCTGACATTTGTTCACTGTTAGGAAACTTATTTATAGAATGGTAGAAGATAATACAATATGAACTATGAAACAATTATCATCTATAAATATATCCCTGGTTAGTATTATTGCTGGAAATCACAAGCAATCAAAAAAAATCTTAATTTCTTCAAATCCGGAAATGGTAGAAGACAAAGTTGTCAAATGTGGATTCATTGTGCATTCGGAAATGGAGGCCATGAGGTATACCTTCTGTTTTGGTCCGCCTAGGCAGCAAGAACCGGGGGAAGATCTGTTTTCTCCTGAGGTGAAAGGCCACTAAGGAGTGGCTAGCGTTGTTGGGGGCTCGGATGTGTGCAAAAGCGTTCCTATGGCTCCGCAATATGCGGTTTTAATTGGTGCGAGTCCAAAATAACCTGACTTGCTCTCGATATTTGCGGACGAAACTCTGCAGGCTTACCAGTGCCCTCTCGTGAGTAAGTGAGGCTGATGGTGATGTGACTGAAAATCAAGATAGGCTGCTATTGAGCTAAGTTTCAATTACTTACATCCAGGATCATCACAAAGGTGAAGGTCTATTCTTGGGGCGAGCAGGTGGTAGGATGTCTCTCTTACATCGTGCTTGGCAAACATGCGCGCGAGGAGATCTCGTTCTCCTGAGCTTGACCTGCTATGAATTTGTTCTTGAGGCTCTTGGATCTATAAAAGGGATCACATCTTTAGTAATAGAAGATTATATGTGTGCAATGCTTATGTCAGTATAATTTCATGTGAGAGATTTTTGCTTGTCATTATAAGCACAGTTCTCTGCGGACTATAACACTTACAGGTTACAAGCCGCTCTCCAACGCGTCAGCGATCGAAATCAAAATTTTCAACCGTTTTTATTCTATCAGTGGGATCTAGATTTTGCTAACTCTCAAGCTAGCTAGAGCTAACTTTAGCCTTGCCCTAAAGGCGCCCGTTCTCCAATGGTGTATAGTAAACGTGACATAATAATTACGCATCTTGATTTAGAGAAAAATAATCGGCTATTATCGGTCTTTTTAAAGCGGAGCGTCTGTAATACGAAGTTCTAACAATCCGATACCTATTGCGAGACAATCTAGTTTTTTTTTAGAATAAGTCTGATTTAGAGTCCCCTTGATACTAAAGTTACTTAGTGTATAGTACGCAGTACGTTTAGCGTGATGTACTGCGCTCAGTGTGTAGTGTATTATGTGCAGTGTGTAATGTATTGTGCGCATTGTAGTGTGCTCAGTGTGTAGCTGTGTAGTGTAGTGTAGTGTGCGCAGTGTATAGTGCGCAGTGTAGTGTGTGCTGCGTGTAGCTGTGAAGTGTAGAGTGCGTTTAGTGTAGTGTAGTGTGCGCAGTGTGTAGCTGCGTAGTGTAGAGTGTGTTTAGTGTAATGTGTGCAGTGTATAGTGCGCAGAGTAGTGTGCGCGGTGTAGTGTGCTCAGCGTGTAGATGCGTAGTGTAGTGTGCGCAGTGCATAGTGCGCAGTGTAGTGTGCGCAGTGTAGTGTGCGCAGTGTGTAGCTGCGTAGTGTAGAGTGCGTTTAGTGTAGTGTAGTGTGCGCAGTGCATAGTGCGCAATGTAGTGTGCGCAATGTGTAGCTGCGTAGTGTAGAGTGCGTTTAGTATAGTGTAGTGTTCGCAGTGCATAGTGAGCAGTGTAGTGTGCGCAGTGTGTAGCTGCGTAGTGTAGAGTGCGTTTAGTGTAGTGTGTGCAGTGTAGTGTGCGCAGTGTAGTGTGCGCAGTGTAGAGTGCGCGGTGTGCGGCGTGCGGTGGTACCTTGCGCGCGGCGGCGGCGCGCGTGGCGGCGCGCGTGGCGCGGCGCACGGGCGCGGCGAGCGCGGCGGCGCAGGCCAGCGCGGCGCGCAGCTGCCCGTCCGTCAGCGCCCACGCCAGCGGCTCCGGACGCACCACCAGCCGCGACGCCACCACCGCACAGTCTGCGTACGACCCGCACCAATAAGTACGCCTTAAGACATTCCTACGTTATAAAGCTTTTAGCGCTCCATTTTACGCTGCACATATTGTCCAGTACAAAACAAGCTTACGATATTCGGTGGACAAAAAGTCACTAAATTTGCCATAGTTGTCACGCTTGGCAAGCGGATTGACAACCGCAATTTTTTATTTTTAGTCGTTATTAAGAAGACGCTGCTGTCCATTACATAATTTGTTTCCCTCTGTTGCCTGTTACGACACCCACGGAATGATATGGGGTAGTGGCTACACTTTATTTTGACTTATTATTAGAAAATAACGGATCTTTGTAAAAATGTAGCCGATAAAGAATCAAATACAATAACATGCCTGTAATAATATCAAAAATGTTAATATAGTTATCGTTAAAAAAACAATCTAAAATTCGAACATCAAGGATTTTATTCCGGCGATTAAATTATATATTTTTTATTTCGAATAATAGAAACCATTTAAAAATATATTCAATACGATATTTTTTCTAACCTGACCTTAAAAAATAAATCTAGTTATGTAGAACAGCAACAGAGAAAAAGATTCGTTATGCATCCTATGAACGCAACCTAAATTATTACAGTACCTACGATTCCTCAAATCATAAAGAAATGCATATTTCCCTACTATACTAGAATTATTTTGTCCGTGCAGTTTGGGTCATAAATCATCGGAGTATTTCGCTCTCTCTCTCCCACTCACGGGCCTTAGGGGCGATCATAGTGATGCGCATTAATGTCGATAAGCGTTATCGATAGTGTATTTAGTTTTGTTATTATGTGGGTTAGTGTTAAAAATGAAAAAAAAAGATACTACAACGTATTTATTAAAATAAGAGTAATAATGATTTAAAATAAATTATTAATTAGGTATCTATGTATTAAAACAACTATAAGTACAAATGTTTGGAATGTAACAAGTTACATAAAAAAATTAAATTATTTTTTTTTATTTAAAAAATTATATTAAAAATTTAATTAAACTATCGACAATGGCGTTGCGCCCGCACAACATGCTCACCGCCCTAGCCGGGTTGAGGCTGAGCTATGATTTATGACCCCAACTGTACGGACAAAATAATTTTACTATAAATAATTTTTCATTACTCATGGTGTTTGTCAACGTGCGTGTATACGTTGGTGCGTTCATACTAACTTCTAAAAAAATGTACCAACACACACCTACACAGAAAAACATTCTTGCCGAATAATGTACCCATCCGTGTATTTGCGGGTACGCTACGCTCACATAAATTAGATAATATAAATATTCCCATAGATAATGTACAAATGACACTTTTAAGTCTATTTTTTTATAGGATAGGGTGACAAACGAGTACACAGTCCACCTGATGGTAAATGGTTGCTATGGCCCATAGACATCTACATCTATCCTCATTTGCGAATCAAAATACAGATGCGTTGTCACCCGTGAGGACTAAGATAGAATGCCTCTTTTAAAGTAAAAAGGGTCTCCGGTTCTCTACACTCATCATACGAAACACAGCAGTGTTAAGCTGCTATTTTACGCTGGTATTCTGTGAGAGCGTGGTCCTTCCCCGGTCGAGCCGACACATTCGTGCTACAACTATACTACTAATATAGCTGCAGCATGGCTCTGCCACGTAGAGCCACGTCTATGCTATCGTGGGATGTGAACGACGCTGTACGCAGATGGGAAAGAAGTTTAACTCATTTTGCGGACCGCGGGAGAGAATCGGAAACGGGATTTGTATCATCATCACCATTACAGCTCATCATAAGTTCATTGCAAAACATTAGCCTCTCTCAAGGAATGCTACAAAGTCTAGAGCCACCTGCAGCATCCTGCATCTCTTACCTATTCATCAATATTCAACAACACAAAACACACAATTCGCTTACCTGTATGAGACTGCCACTTGAGAACCTTTCTTACCCATCAATGTTCTGTTTTTTGAACTATATTGCTGCCCCATTGCCCTGACACAGTAAGCTGTGTCAGGGCAATGTATCAGTATTTCACACAAATAATTATCTTGCGTCTGAATATATCTCAAATTGGCCTACATATATAGGCTATGTCCCGCTGTTGTGACACAGGCTTATAAGTAAGAAAATTTTCCCAAATGTAGTCATATTTAGCCGTCACCCTCCTGAAGGTCGCTACCCAGAAAGTTGTCGGCTTAATGTAGCCTAAATCAACATAGTACGAGTCCAGTGTTCGTTACTATAAAAACAAGAGAAAATATTCGGAAATATACACCGCCAAAGTATTTCTTATTTAATATAATTCTTACCGGAGAGCCGCTTCTTCATGACAATCCTACAGTGCGTGTTGCCCAGTAATAGACGTAGCGGAGGTAGATTCGCCGCTGCGTCTCCAAAAGCTTTAGCTTCTATCCTCGCGCTCTGCCATTCTAATTCCTAGGAGGTGGAATCAAGAAAAAATATCTTAAGGATATGTGAATGTGAAAGACTGTCAACGGCGCTTTTAGGGACCCTAAGGCTCCACGATTTAAAGGCGGATTCGCATATCTCGACGAGATGAGCCGAAAAATAATAGTAAAATTTTTCGATATTTCGCTTAGTTTCCGAGATTTATGCGAAACCGTCTTCAAGTCGAGGTGCCGTAAGAACCATAGGCGTGCCCCGCCAACATGTACTAGGATAGCACGGCGGATTATTTCTTTTTTTGTGACTCACTAGCGATCCGCCCCGGCTTCGCACGGTTGATTTCTGGATCTCGACGCCACCTACCGGGTCCAATTGTGAATCTAAACCATTCTCTAATCAACTTCCTCTAATCAACAAACAAAAAAAATTCATAAAAATCGGTTAAGCCGTTTAGAAGGTCAGTCACATAATATATAATATGCATGTATTATACATATAAAACTTCTTGAATCATTTTGTCTATTGATGAAAACCACATCACAATCCGTTGCGCAGTTTAAAAGATCTAAGCATACAGACGGCGGGAAGCTACTTTGTTTTATACTATGTAGAGACGGTCACCTGATGGCAGTTGTCAACCCTGAGGTGCATAGCATGGACTGAAAGGGTCTTCGGTATTGACATCGTATTAAACACAGCAGTATTATACTGCTAATACACGCTAGTGTTCCGGGTAAGCGTGATGTTTCCCTGGTCGAGCCGTTCCATCCATACCGCAGCAATAATACGCTAAAGATTGGCTTCTGAAACATAAGCGATAAATCACTGTCGCTGATGAAATGGCTATTGCTACAATAATCTTATCAAAGTCAGATCATCTTTATGAATTGCGAAAATAAGATATCAATGACTATCTATACAAACAAAAAATTAAGACAATTGAATTTAGGAAGGATATGAGCCGAACTCCTACTGTACAACAAAGTATTTCAAACAGAATTTCAGTCACAGCGGCCAGTCTCAACGGAGACTCGCCACTTTCGCATGATAGGATTATAGTGTACGACTGTGTGCACAAACTAGTCAGGTGCACTTCCTATCCCTCATTGTCATAGTCCGATTCCGAGATAAAAAGGTGCAATATATAAATGTTCTAAAGAATAAATCTTAGCGGTCAACCATCGCAGTCTACTTTAATAAATAATCTGTTAAAAATAAAAATATGATCGTGGGACTGACAACGGTGATTTAAACAATAGATGGTTCATTGACTAACCTTAAAAATTAAAAGTTGGCCGGTATCGGGTGATTTGATTCTAGTCAGTCTTAGATCTCCCTTCCGGCCCTCCGGCGTACGGGACTCAACCGTCACCCTAGAGATCTGTAAAGCAACAGACAAAGTAATAATATGCTTTGTGTTCTTTGTGATATTAAAAAAAAAAACTCATATAGTGTATTTAAAAATTTAAACAGACTTCGTAAAAAGGAGATCATTAATTCGTCTGAACATTGTTTCTTTTCAATGTACGTAACACGATATAGCTGTGTTTTTTTTTTAAATTATAGACTAGTGCTTGACCACTATATTATCCCACTTGATGGTAAGTGGTGATGTAGCTGAAGATGGTACTTAACAAAAGCCTATTCAGCTTCTTGCCTTGAAGACACCCACATTATAATCAATCACTTTTTTCGATACAGCTGCCCCACAGAGGTCCCACATGAATTTCAATCACATCCTACCTTAAAGTTGGTTAACGCGCTGTTAAACACGAGCAACCCGGGATCTATATCCGCTACTTTAAGTTAAAGTTAAATTGATAAATGCTACTTTAAGTGCTGATTTACCACATACTCGGCGGTGAAGGAAAACGTTCGTAAGGAAACCTGCATGTCTGAGATATTAAAATAATACTTCGAAGAAATGTGAAGCCATTGAGAGCTAGCTCTTAATTCTTCTTAAAAGTAAGAGGAGGTCTTAACTTCATTTGCACGACGTTTATTTTATAAAACTGATGTGTATTTTAACAAACTTACAGTCCATCAGGTGGAAAATGGCTACTGCATTTCATGAACACTTGCAATCAACTTCAAGCAAAGCAACCTACAGATGCTTTTTCACCTCTGAGGACTACGATGGAAATGGAATGAAATGGAGTACGTGAGGTCAGTCCGTACACGTGGGACATATAAAGGATGTTACTTTACTTTTCCATCGATTATTTATAAATAACTAGCTACCGCAGAAGAAATAATTGTGGAAATATCGTTGTAAATTTCGAAGAGTTATATTGTTTAATTAGGAATGTTAATACATTCATTGTTGTTGTTGTTGTTGTTGTTTTTATTATTTGCTCGATAGAGCAGACAAAGGAACTATGCCATACAGCCTTGTCTTTTTTTAATTGAATATATAGAATTTTACTGATTCACAATATGGTGGCATTACACCGGAGGCGTGGAGCAGAAGTGCAGTGGTCTTGTTCTTCAAGAAAGGCGACAACGCTCTCTTGAAGAACTACAGACCGATTTCCCTTCTGAGCCGCGTCTACGTGCTGTTTTCGAGAGTCATTACGAATCGCCTCGCGCGCAGACTTGACGACTTCCACCCTCCCGAACAAGCCGGTTTCCGAAAAGGCTTTAGCACCATAGACCACATACATCATCATCATCATCATCATCATTACAGCCCTTCACAAGTCCACTGCTGAACATAGGCCTCCCCCAAAGAATGCCACAAAGCACGGTCCTGAGCCACCTGCATCCATCGACTTCCTGCATGTCTTACCAGGTCGTCACTCCATCTCGTGGGGGGACGCCCTACACTTCGCCTACCGGTACGAGGCTGCCACTCGAGAACCTTTCTTCCCCATCGGTTGTCGGTTCTTCGAGCTATATGGCCGGCCCACTGCCACTTCAGCTTACTAATCCGTTGGGCTATGTCGGTTACTCTGGTTCTACTGCGGATGTCCTCATTCCTAAGTTTATCACGCAGAGAAACTCCGAGCATAGCCCTCTCCATAGCTCGCTGAGCGACCTTGAGCTTCCTCATCCGGCCAGCAGTGAAGGACCACGTCTCAGTTCCGTAAGTCATCACTGGCAACACGCACTGGTTGTACAATTTCGTTTTAAGGTTTTGAGGTATGTCTGACGAGAAGATGTGTCGTAGCTTCCCGAACGCTGCCCAGCCGAGTTGAATCCGTCGATTGACCTCTCGGTCGAAGTTGGACTTACCTAGTCGGACTATTTGTCCCAGGTAAACATACTCGTCAACAACTTCGAGCTTAGTGCTCCCAACAACTACCGGCATAGGTGTGACATGGACATTAAACATGATCTTTGTTTTGTCCATGTTCATCTTAAGACCTATCCGTTGGGAAACACTATTGAGGTCATTGAGCATAGTGCTTAGGTCCTCCAGCGATTCTGCCATAAGGACTATATCGTCGGCAAATCGAAGGTGAGTGATGTACTCGCCATTGATGTTGATACCGTATCCTTTCCAGTCCAGAAGCTTGAAAACGTCTTCCAATGCAGCGGTGAAGAGTTTCGGGGATATGACGTCACCCTGTCTTACACCTCTCTGCAATTGGATAGGTTTCGTACTCTGGTTCTGTACTCGGATAGCCATCGTAGCCCTACTGTACAAGCACTTCAACACTTCGATATACCGACAGTCAACTTGGCACCGCTGAAGGGACTGCAGCACCGCCCAAATTTCGACGGAATCAAAGGCTTTCTCATAGTCCACATACGCCAGACATAGTGGCAAATTGTACTCTTCGGACTTCTGTACAATTTGCCGAAGGGTATGTATGTGGTCTATGGTGCTAAAGCCCTTTCGGAAACCGGCTTGTTCGGGAGGCTGGAAGTCGTCAAGTCTGCGCGCGAGACGATTCGTAATGACTCTCGAAAACAGCACGTAGACGCGGCTCAGAAGGGAAATCGGTCTGTAGTTCTTCAAGAGAGCGTTGTCGCCTTTCTTGAAAAACAAGACCACCGCACTTCTGCTCCACGCCTCCGGTGTAATGCCACCATGGAGGACGGAATTAAAGAGCTTCTGAAGGACTTCAAGTACCGGTCTTCCACCCGCTTTCAGAAGCTCCGCTGTAATTCCATCCTCGCCTGGGGCCTTACCGTTTTTAAGGTGCTGGAGAGCCATTCTAATCTCGCTCAGACTGACATCCGGGATATCTTCGGAATAGTGTCGGATGAGACTCGCTCTTGGATCGTTACTCACACTTGCGTGTGGCTCCAACGATGATGTGTACAGCTGCCCATAGAACCTCTCAATCTCACTCAAAATCTCAGGTGTCCCGGAAACGATGCTGCCACACTCTGTCTTCAGCTTTGACAGTTGGCTCTTTCTGGCAGACAGATCTCTGGCAAAGACTTTGGAGCCTTGGTTCCGCTCGATCGCTTCTTCAATACGAGCTGTATTGAAGTTGCGTAAGTCCCGCCGCATGCATTTGGAGATCTGTCTGTTCAGATGCCTGTATGCTGTCAAGTCTGTTGAAGTATGTAGCTTCATCTCCCGTCTAACAGCCATGAGATTAAGAGTGTGATCGGAGAGTTTTTGTGTTCTTCTGCGGCGGGTCTTGCAGAACTTAGCTCCGACCGCATGGACAGTTTCCACGAGCTTGTCATTCATATCGTCCACTTCATTGCAGTCTTCCAGGCACTGAAAACGGTTTTGTAACTCGAGCACGAGAGGGACGGAGCGTTGACTTCATTAGACGAGACCTCTCCAACTTAACGTTTAGGTTCAGTGTGCCTCTAACCATTCGGTGATCGCTACCAGTTTTCACCCTCGCGATCACGGAGACATCACTGAACAGTTGTCGTCTGGTCGTCATAATGAAGTCAATCTCATTTTTTGTGGAACCGTCGGGGCTCGACCAGGTCCACTTCCTGTGGGGCCACTTCTGGAAGAAAGAGTTCATCATAAAGAGTCCCTCTTTCTCCATGAAGTCGGCCAGCTGCTGGCCCCTTGGGTTCCGTTGCCCTATTCCGAATTTCCCCAACTTCAGCTCACCGTTCTCTCTTGTGCCTAGTTTTGCATTGAAGTCTCCCATTAACACCGTATATTGGGTTTTGGAGGAATGCATGGCTCTAGAGATATCCTCATACATTTCCTCCACCTCCTCATCGGGGTGTGCCGAGGTTGGTGCGTAAACCTGTATGACCTTCAGCGAATACCGTTTGGTGATTCTGAGTATAAGGTACGCAACCCTCGTCGACACACTCCCGATCTTTACAACGTTGTTAACGAGAGACTTGTGGACGATAAATCCGACACCTCCTTGGGACAGATGGTCGCCCTCCCGGTGATAGAGCAAGTTGCCGGATTCGAGGATTACCGTGTCCTCCCCCTCTCTTCGGACTTCGGATAATCCTATAATATGCCAGCGCAACTTGTCTATCTCTTCTTCCAGCTCCACGATCTTCTCGTCAGTCCTCAGGGTGCGTGCGTTGTACGTTGCCAGGTCGAGTCGTCTAAGGTGGCAACCGAACCTCCACCGGAGATTCTTAGCACCCCCTGCCCCGCCGTTACCATGGTCGCCACCGTAGCCAGGAATAGCGGGGCCGCCGGGGACTGGGGGCCGTCTGTTTGTTGCTTTATTCATTGGGGGGTATTTGCCATAGTTGCCACGCTTGGCGGGCGGGTTGGCAACCGCAGTTTTTTTATTGTAATTTGGCTATTATCAGGAAGATGCTGCTGCCCATCTCCTGCCTGTTTCCCTTTGTCGCCTTTTACGACACCCACGGGAGGATATGGGGTAGTGGATATTCTTGACCGCCACTACACGGCATACCCTTCGGCAAATTGTACAGAAGTCCGAGGAGTACAATTTGCTACTATGTCTGGCGTATGTGGACTATGAGAAAGCCTTTGATTCCGTCGAAATTTGGGCGGTGCTGCAGTCCCTTCAGCGGTGCCAAGTTGACTGTCGGTATATCGAAGTGTTGAAGTGCTTGTACAGTAGGGCTACGATGGCTATCCGAGTACAGAACCAGAGTACGAAACCTATCCAATTGCAGAGAGGTGTAAGACAGGGTGACGTCATATCCCCGAAACTCTTCACCGCTGCTTTGGAAGACGTTTTCAAGCTTCTGGACTGGAAAGGATACGGTATCAACATCAATGGCGAGTACATCACTCACCTTCGATTTGCCGACGAAATAGTCCTTATGGCAGAATCGCTGGAGGACCTAAGCACTATGCTCAATGACCTCAATAGTGTTTCCCAATGGATAGGTCTTAAGATGAACATGGACAAAACAAAGATCATGTTTAATGTCCATGTCACACCTATGCCGGTAGTTGTTGGGAACACTAAGCTCGAAGTTGTTGACGAGTATGTTTACCTGGGACAAATAGTCCGACTAGGTAAGTCCAACTTCGACCGAGAGGTCAATCGACGGATTCAACTCGGTTGGGCAGCGTTCGGGAAATTACGGCACATCTTCTCGTCAGGTATACCTCAAAACTCGAAAACGAGACTGTACACCCAGTGCGTGTTGCCAGTGATGACATACGGAACTGAGACGTGGTCCTTTACTGCTGGCCGGATGAGGAAGCTCAAGGTCGCTCAGCGAGCTATGGAGAGGGCTATGCTCGGAGTTTCTCTGCGTGATAAACTCAGAAATGAGGATATCCACAGTAGAACCAGAGTGACCGACATAGCTCAACGGATTAGTAAGTTGAAGTGGCAATGGGCCGGCCATATAGCTCGAAGAACCGACAACCGATGGGGAAGAAAGGTTCTCGAGTGGCAGCCTCGTACCGGCAGGCGAAGTGTAGGGCGTCCCCCCACTAGATGGAGTGACGATCTGGTAAGATATGCAGGAAGTCGATGGATGCAGATGGCTCAGGACCGTGCTTTGTGGCATTCTTTGGGGGAGGTCTATGTTCAGCAGTGGACTTGTGAAGGGCTGTAATGATAATGATGATGACAATATGTTGATGCGTCACATTGTGCAGCCCATGGGAGATTTTGACGGCAATTTGAGCCAGCAGACAGCTGACAGTTGGCGATGGTATCTAAAGACGACCATGCAAACAAATAGCTTATCTTGAGAATCCATCACCATCAAAACACCCGTTTCACCGTTTCCACTAATAGTTCACATGCGTAGACAATGAAAAAAATGAAATGAAAATGAAAATCGCACCACTTTTACATATCAAATTCCACTTCAAACTATTATTTAAACTATAATACAGGAGCAGCAAACCGTCGGCGGTCAAATTCCCGCCAAAACTCCAATACATTCATTGAAATTGAATGATATATCTTTCAAATAAAATTGTTGGTACGATTCGCGCGGCAACTTGTGTAAGTTAATTGTACTATGCCTTCGCGTAAGTGCAAGCAATAAGTGGACAAAATTTTGCCGCAATCTGATGAACGGAGAGGCAGCGCATTTAATACGAACAAACTGATATTAATTTTTATACATTAGATCTTATATTTATTCTATTTTTTTTTTTCATAGATTACTATTAGGTAATCAATGTTTTTTTTAAAATAGTGGAAGCGATCGATCTCGACAACAGATGTTTCGCACTTTGCAACTGTATCGCAGATGACTGCGCGTCGCTGCTCTGGTTGTTTTGCATCTGCTATACACGAAATAAATTATTACCCTCAAATTATCTCGCGGGTATCGTAACAGGCGACAGATGAGAATGAATAAGGAGATGGGCAATAGCATCTTCCTGATAAGAACTCAATATAATAAAAAACTGCGGTTGCCAAAACAAACCAATGTGTGCATATGAGACAACCTATGTATATATGTTTATGTTCAGCAATGGTCTTTGAAAGGCTGTAATGAATGAATGAATAATAAAATAACATTACACCAATTAGAATGAAATGTTTGGACTTAGTTTTTAAAATATTAAGCTTTCAAGGAGAATATAATATATTGGTAGGTTCTCTCGCTTCTCCATTTATGAATATAAGTACCAGCTGATATGAACTTTACAGATTTAACATATACCTCTTTTTATCTAAATACCCAACATTAAATGTTTTAACTGTCTTTTAGACCTTGTTGACAATTATTCAATACTTACTCAGAAAAAAGTTGAAAAAAGTCTCAAAATTGCATTATAAAATTCCGTGACGTACCTGAACATTACTGGTGAAGGCATCACAATTGAAGTAAATTTGCACTTGGTTCACAGCCACCGATATACCATCTATAACCTGTAGGCAATAAGGTTTCAAATTATTTGTACAAGTTTGAGGAAAACTTTTGTAATCATGGCTAATGTACTACAACGTGCCAGTTGACCTTGAATCTTGAACGCTATCAATATTGTGAAACAAAAAGTTAGTGTAATCATTGTTATTAAATTTGTTATATATATGGATGCCCCTTACAAAACCGCGAACTACGCAGCAACCTCATATTCGCACACAACATTTCAATATTGCTTCCACGAGGCAGTTTTGCTGACTTGATGGGAAACTCGGTTGCCATGGACTCACAATGACGCATGCGATGTCAACCGACATAGCACCTCACCAGAAACCTAATGCAGCGAGGTAATTCTGCTAACCTCCGACATCCCACACCATTATATATACGAAACTCCACGATGCCACACTACACTTCATTTCTAACATCGGACGGGGGATGGAGGTTTAATTAGATTTAATTAGTACTAGTTCTTTTAGTTGTAATATCTTTTAAATTACATTTAATAAAAGTAATTTGGTTTTTTTTGTGTCCTCCGGCGGCGACCTCCATAATTAATTTCTCAATATGTGAACAAATAAATACTTTCTGTTTACGATATTTATGTATGCCGTGTAGTGGCGGCGTAATACAATCCACCGTCCCATATCATCAACTGGGTGTCGTAAGAGACGACAGAAGAAAATGATACAAAAAATGGACAGTAGCATCTTCCTGGTACAACTGACAACAATAATAAACAGGTTAACAAACTGAATGCCAAACATGACAAATATTGCAAATGTTCCGCCAGTAGATTTTTGATAGGCTGTACGGAATGAATGATGAATGAAATTTTACGTCCTCGATCAGGTGGACTGTTACTTTCATTTTAACACGTTTTTATGAGCTTCACAGGCACTTTTTTTTTTAATTAGTTCGACCAGTATCCATTTATTTATGTATGAATGTAATGGAATTTTGTAGTACACTTTGCAATAACTTCCTGACACTTAAATAATCTGAAATTTTACAGACGTTTTCAAGACCGATGACATTATACAATAATAACACGATTATAACTATTCTCACTGGAATCATTACAGCGCATGATCATCACATAATTATATAAACGAGCACGCAGTATACCTAATGTTAAGTAGATGCTTTGGCCTATAGACAGGCCTTTGTCACTCTTGCTACCTGCGTGAAATAATTGCCTACAATCGCGAGCTGCCCCAGGGGTAGATCGCAGTCGGGGCTAGCGCGCTCTATACGATTGAAAAAAAAAAGTTTTTTAACGCTGTTTACGTAAATAATTTTTTGTAAATACTTGTTGAAATACTCGTCGAAATAGTTTTTGTTTAGTGTTTAGTATATTTAATTGTAGGATAAAATAGTTGAAAAACTTTTAATGTAATTTAAGAATAATATATATGTATATTACCTACATAACCTACCTATATCTATTTGATAAATTATAATGGCAAAACGTCGTTCCTATTATAACTGTTGCGGGGATGGATGCTTAATGAGCAATTAAAAGGATTCAGATATACCATTTTTTGAGTTACCGAAGGATAATGAAAGGTAAATTTATTTCATTTTTTTGTTCGATAGGTACTTAGAGCGAAAAAATAATTAAGTAATTAGTTAACAACAGAAGTAATACCTAAGTACTTTATTACAAAACTTAGTTGAAATTTACTTCACTACCCAAGTACCTACTTACATACCTATACTAGTCTTTGTAATTAAAATATTTTAAGTTATAAAAGCACAAAATACTGAATTTAAAACTGTGTTTACAAGATTTTCAACTAAGTAGATTACGAACATATTTCTGTTAGGAATCGTATTTCGGGTTTATTTGTTGTTTACGCTATCTACCTATACGAACCAAGCATCGCGATTCCCGACGAATGGCCTTGCAAGTTGCATGGATTGGGCATCACAGAACTCACATAATAGATAATACGGTCGATTATAGTCAGCATAGGTACTCTACCTAAGTAAATTACCATTTCACAATGTATTTTTTAATCTTTATTAACAGCCCTCAACAACCACGGAGTCCGTTGTGACGTAGTAAGGAGAAAAGATGCAAAGTAATACGGACCGTCGCGCGCAGCGATAATGTTTTATTTAGCTTGCGTGCGCGATTTATCTGATTAATAATAACTATGTAGGCTATTAAAACGTCGGCAAGCAGTCAACATCAAAGGAGTGCAACTTCTGTACTTATTTATTCTCTGCTATAGATACCTCTCACATCTATACCCAATTAAGAATTAAAATGCAGATGTGTTATCACCGTAAGAACTACAGATGAAATGCCTCGTCACAAATTAAAAGGGTTTCCCTAAACTCACCATACAAAACGGTGGCAATTTTAATTCAGTGAGAGCGTAGCCCATTCTTGGTAGGGTTGTATTGCAATCATAATTCAACTGCTGTGTACGTAGCTCTTTAAAAGGTAGAGCCACCACGTAAAAAAGTTAATATTTTAATATAATTTTGCACTAAATCGAGACCTGACTCACTGGGAGAGATCTATTTTCAAACGTCTACTCACGACTGTAATAATAAGTAAACGTAGTAACCAATATTACCTTATGTATGTAGCTATACTTCCCGGGCACGGGCATCGCACCACCCGCGCCCGGGTTCATCACGCGCGGCTCCGTGCACACCTCCAACGCTATGTGCACCTCGTCCAAATTCTGGAACCAATGGCAAACATTATTGAGATTATATTTTTTTTATTCTATTTGCACACTTTAGTCAACTTTAATGAGCCGTGATTGCCCATGGTTATCGATCACACATCTTCACTTCACATCACCAACAAATAAATCAAATTCTGGACAAAGCTCTTTTCAAGAATCAACCAGCTGACCTACATTACTTGCACTTGATAAGCCTCACTATTTCTATTTAATTTACGCGATTAAGTGTGACAAACGAACAGCACCTGCTAACTATATGCTGTTGTCGATATAACTCCAACATTTATCCTCGCTTAAGAATCAAAATGCAGATGCATTGTCACGCCTAAGGAATAAGATCGGATAGAGTTACTAGTAAAAAGGGTCTGCGGTTCTCGTCAAACTCATTTTACATATTCTTTGCGAATGTACTAATGTAGTCATACTACAACTGCAGCATGACTCTAGTATTCATACGTTCATTACAGCCTTTCAAAAGTCCTACAGAACGAGGGGGGAGGGGGGGGAGGGAAAACCCATAGATTGCAGCGCTTGGCTGGCGGGCTGGCAACTGCAGTTATTTTTCTAGTTGTTATTAGGAATACGCTGCTGTCTATCTGCTGATTCTATTGGTTTGTTTCCCCCTGTCACCTCTTACGACCGCAACGATATGGCATAATATTGTCAAGCTCACCGCATTTATATTATACTGAAAAGTAGAATTGAATTAATTTCAATGAACATTGGATCCTTTAGTAAAACTATTTAGATATTTAATTGCTGTTCTTCAAGACAATTATAGTCATGCGTTTATTTATTTGTTAGATAAAATTTTAAAAACTTTGTGCACGTCATCCCAAGCGGCGTCGTTTTCTACCGAAAATCAACCTCAATCAAAGTCTATCCATACAAAAAGTCTGTTTGTTTGTTAATTAGTAAACGTGAAGTTAATTACAGATACTTGTGCCTTGTTAAAAGTTAACTAAGCAGACTTAGCTTAAGATCTGAGTAAAGAATATTCATACATTACATGCTTGTAACATTTTTAAGTATCAACTGCTTAGGAACAGGTCGCTGTAAAACAAACTCGTTTGTCACCCTTGTCTATAAAAAAAAAACAACAAAAAAGATCTAAACTATATTCTTAGCTTATATCTTTTTTGTCTTTGACTATCTTAAATCTAAATATCGCCACATTATTAGAAGGGAAACAAGTACATATTAAAACTATTGGTAAATCCAATTGTGTACGCCTTAAGCGCATTAAAAAATTACGTACGTATTATATCTAAAATATTAAAGTAGTTTAAATTCACACATATTTTCACTAATAACCAATAACTAATACTATATTTCCAATTTTACGATAATTTTATGTAAAACTACAATTAAAAAAAGTTTGAAAAATTCAAAAGTGCACGACTCATAATGCTCATATGATAGTAGAAAAATTAAAAAAAAAATGTAAATTGTAGTTCCAGTAGAAGTCACCCAAGTACACTTTCAAGTCACTCTGTCAAGTCCGGAATTAAGGTCTATTCGTAACTAACAAAACGAGCTCAAACTCGGCATATCTAGTTCTCCTAGTCGAGGAGTTCCAGTAGCAGTCATCAAAGTCCACCTTCAAGTCACTCTATCATGTCCGGAGGTATGGTCTCATCACAACTAACAAAATGAACCCAAAATCGGCACACCTATTACTACTCGTGGAGCAGTTCCAGTGGCAGTCATCGAAGTACACTTTCAGGTTACTATATCAAGTCCGGAGGCAGTGGCGGATTAAATGGTGACTGCGCCCTAGGCTAGCCTATCACCTTATCGGCGCCCCTCTAGGGGCTATATTATATCTATTATAAATTAAATATAATTTTGCAAATAAGCTATATTTATAATTTATAATATAATATAGATTTTTAAATAAAACTAATGCTCCTAAATCGCTCTTACTCTCTCATCCTAATTATTTTGCAATGATTAAACTATATTATATTATGATTTCTTATATTTACGCGAACACTACACATTTTTAAATATATATATATTCTATATATATATATTATTCTATTTTTATATTCCCGACGTTTCGGGTGCTTTCCAGCACCCGTGGTCACGGGGGACTCGCGCACCGAGGGTTCCGAACAAATCTGTAGGTATATAAGTTTAAAATTATTAAAAATATTTTTATTATATGATGTAACCAAAAACTTATACTTTTCGCAATTTTTCCTTTATCTGTGCTATAAAACGTTGCTTCGTACCAAATTTCAAGATTCTGAGTTCACGGGAAGTACCCTGTAGGTTTTGATTCCCTTGCGAAGGTCGAAAATTTACGGCATAAACGGCTGTATCTTTTGATAGCCAATGCAGGCTTAGAAGTTTGATTTTTTCACAGATCTAAGGGACAGTAGACTTGAGTATTTGATATGAATTTCAGCTTGATACCTCCACGCGTTCCTGAGAAAAAGGGTATTGACAGACAGACAGACAGACGGAGAACAAAGTGATCCTATAAGGGTTTCGTTTTTTCCTTTTGAGGTACGGAACCCTAAAAATGTATAACAATAGCAGTTAATGACGCATTAATTTCCTGAAAACATACTACTTCACTAAATTTTTAAATAAGTAATAAAATTATAATTTAAATTACATCGAAAAATTGACTAAATAATAAAAATTTCAAAACGACAGACGTAGTAATTTATTAATGAACTAGCTGTGCCCGCGGCGTAGCTCGCGTATATAGGTTTTACCTAATTTGTCGTTTAGGTAAGAGAATATTAAACGATTATTATATGTATAGATTTATATCATTACTGTATCAATAAGTGGTAACAAAATAAATGGTTATCATCAAAGTTCTAAGTCGTTTATGATAGAGCTTCTGTGTGAATGACGTTAGAAGTAGGCTTAGCCACAAAAAGATTACGAGGGCTACTAACGCGGGAAAAAGCAACATAGAGTTGGCCATGTGCAAAACAGTCAGTACTGAGGTGCACTCCTACAACGCGTAAATTTTGACCTTGCGCTTTATTTACGGTCATCGCATAACACACGCTGACCTTCCGTATATATTACTATACTCTTTGACGCTGACTGTGACTGGGAACTGAACGCGCTTAAAACTGAAAGGAAAGTTACTTCTTAATAGAGGAATTTTGGCCAAACGCAATGCAAAATTTTTGCGTAATATATTATAAATCAATCTATACGATTCACCGGCGAAGAATCTCAACACCGCAATTCAGAAAAGGTTGTAATTTGTACAACTCCATCTATTACGTCCTTTGTGTGAGAAAACATCCTTTTTTTTAATCTCTTTTTGTGTTTTAAGTATAAATATATTAATTATTATGGAACGGAAAACATCTCTTTTTGTGTTTTAAGTATAAATATATCAATTATTATGGAACGTTTTTTTACACACAAATGTTTTTATTACTATTTCTGAGATTTTATAGCGCCATTGAACAAATTCGAATCTACATTTCAAAATAATAATCATTACTTCCGATAGAATTAACAAATTTTAATAAAACAAAGATTAAATGTAGCTCGAAGTTACGCTTTATGATTTTCTTAACGATTTCTTTGAAAAAAAAAAAAGATGTTTACTTTAAACGTGATGCGTTCATATAAAAACAGACAAACAGACAGAGAGACAATTCTAAAAATTATAAAAATGTACTTATTTAATTATTTTCAGTTCCCCATAATGATTTTAGCCACAAAAATATACTATACAAGGTAATCTATGTATACAATGTACAGAAAGAGACACAACATGTTATCATCATTTTTATTATATGTATATATTTAAAGAGAGATGGCGCTGCTAACATCAATTCTAAAAATAAAAGAGATTAATTGACGCGATTGATACATTATATAAAATATAAAGAACTTATAAATCAGTGCCTGCACAGTAAGCAAAAAATAATGTTTGACCCTCACTAAAACCAACGCAATTGTTAATAGCTGTTTTAAAATTTGATTTACCACAGTACTCGGCGATAAAGAATAAATTGAGTTTGTCAACAGACAGTAGGGCAGCGAGTAATATAAAAATTAGCAGTGAATATGAAAACTCATCTACAGGAAAAAACCACATTGCAATTGCATTACATTTGCACAACACCACCATCTATCGATGAAATTGATTAACTATTGTGCTTTAGTTTTAGTTAATAAGGTTAATATATTTTTCTTTTGTTTAAATACTTTTGTTTACTGCGTTTTAGATATACATAATTATATCATTATAGAACATTATTTTACATCATTTAATTATGATTCATGATATGATATTAGTTTAAAATGCACTTGATGACTCAACCAAAGCCACCGTTGAGCAAATTCGTATCATAACTTTTGATGGAATGAACTGATTTTAATGAAATAAAGACTAAATGTAACCCGAAGATACACTTTATAATTTAATTAACAATTCTTATGATACAAATTAGTACTTTATACGTGATACGTTAACAAACAACAAACAGACAGACAGAAAATTCTAAAAATGGTAGAAATGTATTTAATTACTTATTTTTGGTACCCCTCAAGCACTTTTATTACAAAAATATAAAATATACAGACATCTGCTATTTACAGTTTTATTATATGTATAGATATCAAACTACCCAATTGTGTAAGACGATTTAATCCAGAAATGAAGTCTCATATGTTCAACTTCAAACACACCAGCAATCGAAATATCGAAACACGACCATAAACGCGACTGTTTTATCGATGAAGTGGAGTCAATGACCAGACAGGTTGTTAGGTGATGGTGGTCCATAAATAAATAATTGCTTTGCAGTAGACCAAACAAAAACAACGCTAAAAGTCTACTACAGTTGTTGCCCAGTGTTTGCACAAGGTAAGAATGTACGGAGATGTGTCACTTGCTTTAGTACAACTGCTATATTATTTTATATAGCCTGATAACATTATTTACTGACAACTAGTAAATTAGGTCTCATCGATTAGTGATAAGTTTGATTTATATATGTATC